TCTGATCCTGACTCACTTAAAACTGCATCCCAGGGTTTATCATGTTATAGCTTACTGACTACAAATCACAAATACAGTCTGAGGTAGGTAGGTTTAAGAAGCAAGTGGATACTGTAGATAATCCATTACTGTGAATATTTAGTAATGTTACCATCTCATGGTAAGGCAGATTTGAGAATTTCTTTATTTATTGGTACATGTCATTTTGTTAAATGCACCAAAAAATACTGTAAAATGGTAACTGTTTTAATGATTTTAATTTCCCTCTGTTCCTTTCAGTTTGAAACCTTTTCACAAGGACATGTCCACAGCAATCCCTATTGTTTACAATGTAATGATAAAGATGAATAAGGAGATAATGAAATACTTTGCTTGCTTTGGAAAATGGTAGCAGAGCTGTGATAAAACACTAATAGAGTATTTTAAAAGGTGAAAAGATCTGAGTGTGTAGTTTTGCTAGAAAGTGAAAACCAGGCCTATGCCCCCCACCCAACCAGGGAAAGAACAAGGGAAAGACTCACAGCTTGTATTGTTCCTTTGATTGCCAAAGTTCCCCTCGGCGATGAACTGCAGCCCACCTCAGTGACCCTTGTCCAGCTAAACTCACCCACTCACACATCCATCAAGGAAACTCCACAGAAACACATTGTTGAGCTCAGAAACAATGCAGATCTACACACAACATAACCCACTGTTTTCCAAAGATTGATTTCCAAGGGTATGTCACAAGAAGATATTACATGCTGTTAATCTTTGGGATGTTCAGAGACTGTGTAGGTAGCCCTTTTTATTCTGACGATCTTCCCAAAGACTACTGTCACATAGAGAAATATCTCTCATAGGTTACATTATGTCCTCCATCAATAACAACAAAATATCAGAAATTATATTTTGAAGAATCCGAGGCTGATTTTGATCACCAAAATATAGGGCTTTATTCACTAGAAGCCACACAATGTCCTAACCAGCAGTAGTTGAAGGGGTGATGCTGATCAATAGGACTATATTTTGCCCTCTAGCCCAACACAACTATATATTTGATGACAGCTGCATTGTTTTCTATAAATTCCAATGCCACTCAAAATACTATAAGAGAGGACATTGCCATTGTCAGTACTCAGCTCTTTTTGTGTTACTATTTTCTAGCAAGTAAATAAAAAAACAGGAGTGTACAATATAAGGGTATACCATCACAAAGGAGCAGTTTAGATGACTAGAATGGCAAATAAATACATTTTAACCCATACAGTAGAAATGTGGACATATAAAGTGGTGTGTTGTAATGTGTCATGTCATGAGTCACAAACTAAATGACTCAAACTAGTTTGCCAACAAAACCAAACCGATAGTTCAATTGGGGTTAAATGTCAGTAGGAAGACTATTCTGTGTACAGGCCAGCTGATATTCCTTTGAACATAAAATGTGCTTTCAGGGCAAAGAAATAAATCTGCCTACCTTTGCAATGACTTCAGTGCTGGCTGGCTACTTTCCAAAAATGAGCTTTATAACACATCTGAAATAAAGTAAATGAACACTGGATTGATATAAGAATGAAATATTAGTTCTAAATATATTCACTAATAATAATCTCACTACTTCCCTACCTGAAGAAACCATCTGAGAACAACAGAGTAACTTTATCTGAAATGCTGCAAAGTCCCAGTGTTTTTTTTTCTAAAGTGGTGCAGTATGTGGGAAGCTGTGGTTTGCAGAGCATATGTGCTGGAGGCACAAAATACACACACCTCTGGCCCTGTGTGAACTCACCCTTCTGCAGACACTGATAGGAAGGAATACACCTCTAGCTTTAGGATACCAACATGGAGCTGTGAAAGCATGGCACAGCTGAGGAACAGTATGTCAACAGAGAATGAGATTAGTAGTGCTATCCCTAGGCGTTCGCTCAGCTGGTCTGTGTGTGTGTGAGCATGCTGACTCCTGGCTCTCATGTATCTGTGTGTATTCTCAGCGAGGGGTTTTTGGCTTCTTTGACTGACAGAGAGTTTAGGGAGTCCCTCTCCCTCCCACAGCACAGCTAAGAAGCCCTAAAGCTCCTTAGCTCAAACACTGCCACTTGTTTGATGAAAGAATATCTTCTTTTCTTTTTTTACTAGAAATACTGTGGAGATAAAACAATAAAAAATTCCAACCTGTGTCGCCTTGCATGGCTCAATCTCAAGCACACATGCAAGGAAGTGTTTTTTAAAGCTCACGCACAAGCACAGATTTTTTCTTTTTCTAGCTTTGTTTTGTCTTTGTAATGGATTATTTGGTTCTGAACATCTGAATCTCATTAAGCAATCAACTTAGCACACACCTTTGTGTACAGACACACTCATGTTGTGTGGGCCAACAAAGGCATTTACAGGTTCAGAGAAGCCTGAGGAGGAGTTAGTAGACATTTAAGCCTGGAGAAGATGAACCAGATAGAAGCACCAGGCACTCGGCCAGTCCAGACAGAGCACAGACTGGCATCGACTGGCCCCAGCCAACTTTACACACACACACACACACACACACACACACACACACACCATCCACATTACTGCCCATCTCAGTTCTCGCTTAGTGAGAAAACAACCTGCAGCGCACTGCTCTAGACATGCCAGACACACACCCACATTGATACCATGTTTGTGTGAAGGAATCGTGTCACGTGCCTAGTGGTTTGCTATGTGTTGTTTAGCTAACAGCTATCTTGACAAATACAAAATTACCATTGTGACCATCACGCAAACACGCACAAAACACGACCAGAGAAGTGTGTGTTTATTCAGTGTGTGTGGTGATGAGGGTAGAAAGGCATAGCATGTTTAGCTGTTCGGAGTGAAGCAAGTGCTTCTGTGCTTTGCTCTGTAAAAGAGCAGCCATCCCAAGATGCTCACTGGAGTGGCTACAGATTCTGGGTGGGCCCAGAGCGTGTGTTTCTGTTTCTGTGCTTCAATACACTTTCCATCAGATTAAGCTGCTAAGACTTTCCTATACAGTTGTAACTTAGGCTTGGTCCCTAATGGTCTGGTCCACCAGCTTAGTTTAGCATGTCAGCATGCTAACATTTGCTAATTAGCAATAAACAGAAAGTACAACTGAGGATAATGATTAGTGTTACGGAAGTGGTTTGATTACAAAAGATCAGATGAACAACAAACCACGGTAATATGTAATAAGTGCAAGAAGACTGTAACAATGGAAGAGGGCAATACAACAAACGTTTTTCACCACCTCAAGCAGAAGCAAAACTAGTTTAGAGTTTAAGGGGAGCCAAAAATCCCTCGAGGAGAGCTAAATAGCTATTGTGTCCTGAACCAAAAATATTTTTCAGTTTTATCGTCAAGAATATCTTTGTTGCAGAAATACCCTGATGTAATAATATTTTAGGGCCATATCACCCACCCCTAAACCAAAGTATTCGACAAATAAATATCTTGACCTGATTATGAGGATGAAGGATATCCAGGGATCACCGAAATTTTTACAATTCATCCTTTGGGGACATAAATGTCATTAACAAATTGTATGGCAATCCATCCAATAGCTGCCGAAAGGAAAAAACCGACCGACACTGCCATCCCTGGAGCCACTTTTCCGTTCAAAACAAATGTATTATTTTAAAGTGGCCAATGCAGTGCAAACCTACAAACTATGCTCTTAACTTAATAACTTAAAAGATTACAAGCTCTTCTATGTGTTTAGCAAATTCTATGAGACTTGGGATTATAAAACCCTGTTAGATCTCTGGGATAACCTTAAAAATTCATGGGCAGCGAGCTACAAAAAAAGGCGGTTTTGCTTGTTTTCATTTCCTGAAAAGTTGACATTTCACAGATTCATCAGACAGTGTCTATTTGCAAATCACACATCATGGCATCGTTACAGCGAATGCCTGTAACAGCCACCAGCATGTGAGCTGGTATGACTCACCTCTCTGTACCTCCAAGGAAATCACACTGACACACACACTCTCAGTACGGGACTGTGCACTAATGCGGGTCAGCCACATCTCGGAGGACAGCGTGTGTGTTTGTGTGTGTGTGAATAACGATGTGCCCTTTAACCTGGGCAAGGATGGAAAGTTCTTAATGTCAGTGAAAGCAGCATAAAACACACACGCCCACAATGTGACACCCTGTAAACATGCCCCATGTAACAGGAACGCTTTGCCTATTTAATGTTGTGTAGCTGCGGTTCACCAGCCAACCATGGCCAATTTTCTGTGGCAGGCAAGCAGAGCAGTGACCAAGACTAACTGAATACATGCAGACCATAAAAGAGCAGAGACAGAGAGAGACAGGGAGGTTTTGCATTAGAGAGAGGTAGAGGTAGAAAATTAGGGACAGCAAGCTAAGCAAAGATGCAGAGTGAAAGCATGCAGATCACTAAGAAGCATCCATGCAAAAGATTGCGTATATGATCGCTCTAAACAACAGTCATTGCATGCTATTTCTTCTCCGCTCAATCCACTGCCTGTTTCACATACTTTTTACTGTATACACATGTGTATGTGCACATTTCAAGCTCCAGATGAAAAACATTAGTCAGGCCAGACGGGAATTTTACTGAAATCTGGCCCGGCTAACAAAAATGCTACAGAAAAGGGATCAAATGGTATAGAGAGACATAAAAGACAAACAGACAGAGGGAGAGAAATTCCCTTGTTGGCACGTTTGTACATATGCACACAAATATGTGCGTGCAAGACCTCGCAGAGAACGAAAGATTATAAAAGTTGGAGTCATCGCAGTTCCAAAAATGTCTTTAACATGAACAGAGGCAGAACTTAGACAAAAAGAAAATGACGACAGAAAAGAATATGGAAACTAAAGCACCAGATAGTAGCAAATAAATAGGAAAAATATAAACAAAGATGGATGAATATGATAACTCAATAAGGAGGGGAGGAACTAAATGATCAGATGGGAATGGGGAGAATGAGAGCAAAACAGTAAAATAAAGAGAAAGAAATAGAAGAAAGTGCAACCCACATCTATCCTTCCCTTACCTCTGTAGCTGCGTGTGGTATCCTTTGGGACAAAAAACGTAGTGGAGAGAAAACTTCAGCTTCAACAGCGCTTCTACAGATCTGTGCTTTCTAACTCTTTCCAAGGTAATGTACATATATCTGTGTCTATCAGCTCAAATGCAAACTCTTCAGTCCACTAGCACAGTATTCTGTCTACCTGCGTGGGTTTTTTTTTTAGTGTATCCTAGATGGTGATGAATAGCAGTGAGTGAAAGGAGACTACTACGCTAGAGGGCAGACAGACTGGCTGAAACAGGAGAGCAGGGAGAGTAGAGAGCAGACTGAGTAGGATGGAAGACTTACTGCTTCCTAACATCAGAGCGGCTGGGCTGGATACACCCACCTACTCAGCGTGCATCAAATGGGAGTCGCTCAGATGCTCTAAAATATGCAGAGAGAGAGAGAGAGAAATCCTATGTGCGTCCTAAGATCTGATTTGATATATGCGCACATATGCATGCGATGTTATGCACACCTACAAACACTCATACAGGATCTAATTACACCCTCCCAACCCTTTTTATTCACACACATATGCACTCACACACAAAACTACTCTCTCGACTGAGCAGAGCCTGCGTGAGATGTCTGCTGGGGCTTTCAGTAAAGTAGTAAATAAACTACCTAAAGGGAGAGCAAAGCAATAACAGCCTCCATGGCAAAAACAGCCTGCAATGAGTTTAATTTAGTGTTCACAGTAAGTTGAGTCTGTTGATTAATCCTGTGGTTCCCAACCTGTGGGTCCGGACCCCCAAGGGGTCTCAAGATAAATCTGAACGATGAGTGACATACTGAATATTTTCAACTTTTTAGTTTTCTGACTTCTGGGAACAAGAATGTAAACAAACAATGGCTTTCAAGAGGTGTGTATGATATTGGCTATCTTATGTTCAGAAAAGCCTAAAAAATGCAAGTATGCAAAATAACAACTCTGACCTTTTCTCTGTTTCATAGTTCCACCTAGCAGCACCAACAACATCATTCTCCCCAGATGCGGCAACCTAAGTCTGAAATCAGCATTACATGTGCTGGCAGACGGAGCCAGGCAAGCAGTTTCCCCTGTTACTAGCGTAGCATCGTCTTTTCATGGAGTGGTATCAGTCTTCTCATCTAACAATAAGTGTATTTTCAAAAATGTTTCCATTAATCTCTTAATAAAAAAAAGTAGTGATTGTGAAATAATTGCGAGCCCTTATAAATTGGTAATATATGTGTTTGCATGTGAATATGTGTGGACTATTTGTGAGTGAGAGTGACAGATTGTAGGAATTAGTGTGATTAAATGGTTAATAGTGTTGCTATATCCTGCAGGCCTGCAAAAATAGGCATGAAAAGAAGGGGGAAAAACTTGGACACATGTTTGGACAGAGGGATTTGTTGTTGAGAGGTAAACTGAAGTAGACCTCAGGACATGCTTCTCATTCTTGGAGCGCACCATTGCTTGTCGCTCAACATGCTTTCATTTTCCCTCAAGTGTTCCCCTGGCCGTGAGAGCTCCATGCCTCCTGGGACAAAGCCTGCCTTGATAAAGGCCAATTCCATGGCTCGGTGCATGGAGAATGGTCCTCATTACTACTAACACAGGTTAGGGGTTAAATTCTTGCGGGAACAGCCAGTAGGTGGCAATGTCTCAGAAATGTTAGCATCCACAGTAGGGGCAGTTTGTCCTAATACAACAAGATGGATTTTTTTTCCTGTATTTTCTTTCTTTCAGTGGTCCCACAAGTACAGGAGCACATTTCCAGGGATGGTAAATATTCGGCGTCATTTCATTGCTCAAATATGTCCACTGACCTTCTTCAGTGTCTGACTGTTACATCCAGTGTGTAATGTAATAGGCAATCAAATACAAGGCCTTGTGTCGATTTCACTGTATAGTATATGACTTGGGTGGCAGAATCTGCCTCTTTGGAGTAGAGGCAACAAAAAAAGCTCCTGATTTTATCAGAAGGTGATGAGGGAAGTGAAACACAGTAATCCCTCTTTATAATGTATCTCCTGGTTAGGCTTTAGAGGGGATGTGAGAGAAAATAACACCTCCCACCAGCCATCCCTGTTATATCTGGATTCTGGTTATTACATCCATAATGAAATATATTTTATTAGGCAATTATTAAACATCATATGCAGGGGTTTAAAGATAATTTCAACCCAATAAAAATGAGGTTTGGGATTCTGGTGGACTCGTTTTTTGAAGAAATGTACTGTTAAAGCCATCCCAGACCTGGAGATTGCAAAGATAACATATTCTGAGGATGGTGATGGTGGCATGCTGTAGCTCCGTCACTGCCACAACTGGGAAGGCTACATCCCCGCAGACAGTCCAGAAGCCCCAAACTACTCCCATCCACTACTGTATCAGCATCCTCACTGCAACATCACTTGATCACCAAGCCAAAAAATAAATAGAGTGGATTCTGGAAGCTCAGTCGCTCATGTCCATCGATCCATCTTTGCTGCTGACCAAGCAGCCACTCTGCAGCAGCAGCGGCAGCGGTGGGTCCTCCACACATACTGTAACATCGTATTGACAAATTTTGAACTGACAGTATGGGAGGAGGAAACGACGCACCTGTCATTTCTTCTGGTGTGCGTATGGTAAGAACGCACGCCAGCAACAACATTGTGTAGCCCTTTTAAATATCACACTACAACTGCTGCAAATAAGCGGAAACAGAGGTTAAATGGGCTATAATAGGTAAGCAGTTCATGCAGATTTTAGTTTATCTTTTCAAGCAGAAGCCTGAGAAATCGTAAATAGTACCTTACCGTTAAAATCGTGGAAAGACAGCCACTGCTGACAGTCAGATGATGAGATGCTCTAGTGGAAGTGCGAATGATGCTGGACGGTTCACCCTCCATTTCCATGAACATTGTTGCCCCCTTCCGGCAGAAGGTGTACACTGCCCGAAACCCCCGTATATTACCGTTTACAGTGAAGAGCTGTTTTGTTTCGTGTGGTGTAGGCCTATTTATACATAAGAAATGTTAAAAAGTATATTGAAGAGTAAATGTTGCAACATGCGACTATCATTGATATAAAATATCCACAAATTTATTGTTTAAGGTTTAGATCCGCAAAAAATTGTTAGAGAGTTAAAAAGCTAAAAGTTAGACAAAATACAACGTACTTCACTTCCGCTTACTATCTTCAAAATAAAAGCCGAAAAGCCCAATGAAGAACAAGAATGGAGTACACTTAACATCTGTGGTGGAAATGAACTAAGTACATTTACTCAAGTAAAGGATTAGGGTTAAGCAAGTTAAGTACAGTTTTGAGGTACTGGAACTTTACTTCAATTGATTCAATTTTTCTCATGCTTTATACTTCTGCTCCACTACATTTCAGAGGTAAATATACTTTTGAGTGATATGTGTTATTATTGATTAAGATAATACCACGGGGAAATAACAAACTTTATTGATCGCAGGGGGAAATCCCAAGCTACCCAGCAGCATATAAAGTAGTTAAAATTAGCTCCATCTTTACCAGCTGCAATATTAAATTGATGTAGACATGGATGCATCGATATAATAATGTACATTATTCTGAAATAGGCCATTCTGCAGAAGATACTTTTGATACTTTAATTATATTTTGATGCTAAAACATCACTTTTACTTGTAGCAGAGTGTTTCTGCACATGATATTGCTACTTTTACTTAAGAAAAAAGTCTGAGTTTTTTATATATATATATATATATATATATATATAATCACACAATGGTGTGTGGTTCAGACATTTTAGAGGAGCCTATAAGGACTTTGGGTAAACCCAACTGCTGTCATTTCTGAGTGAATGCATTTAACTTTTTTTCCAGTGTCCCATTGGTATTTGATCCCATGTTCTTGCTTTTTTTTTCAGTACCCCACTTGACTTCTCATTGTCAATATTGGATGATCAGACTAATTTCACTATATTGTGTTTTGTATCCAGTTTAATGATGAATATTCTCTGGTTAATTTATTTACGCATTTAAATAGCCTAAATTAGTCATCAGTAACCTTTTTCAACAGATGACCACTGCTTCTCAAAATGGTTTTTGAAGGTTTATGCAGTAAATTAGGCAAATACATAGTATCCAATTAAGTAACAGTGAAGGCTATAATTGTATAATTGACCATGTCTACATTTGAAATTAACATTACATAGAAACTAGTCCTTAATAATTAATAGTCCTTTAATAAGTGAAAGTCTCCATACAACATATTAAAAATCAGTGAAAGTCTTGCATTCAAAATCTTAGAGCAGTTTCAAAGTTATTTTTTTAGTTGTAGCTTAATTTGACTCTTTATTAAGCCCAATTAGAGATCACATGATTTACTAACCAACTACTTATTCCCTTTTACTTTGAAGGAAGGATCTAAACTGCCACTGCCAGTGTCACTCATTCTAGCTTGACGCGTCTTGACAAAGGACTACAAAAATGGCTTCTGTAACTGGCTATAGGGGCCTAAATAAAAATAGGTGACTCAACCTAAGCCTGAGGTCTGGAATATAAGTCTTTGCGGTTATATAATTGTACAGAAGGCAGAAAAACTTTTGCGCATCAGTTTGAAATACGTTTAATAAATGAGGTGGCCGTTATTTGGACATTTTTGCCGGACGTTTTGATGTTGTCGCGGTGTTTCACCGGCGATATAGCAGCCAGTGGGTATTCAGCAGGAAAAAGCGCCAACTTCTACTGCACCGTCCGAATCGTCTAATACTCCTGTTAAAGACGGTTAAGGCTGGATAATCCGTGAAATATATTAAACTTCAATCTGGAATGACTCATTCAGGTAAAAGTACAAATGATTTTGACTCATCTTGAGAGTGTGTTTCCTATAATTGTGAAGTGTTAGAAACGGCTTGCTGCCTGTTCTCTGGTTTTCTCCTCCCACTTCTTCACCGCACCGTTTTGACCCAGTTTTGCTCAACAACGCCAGTTTACTGTGCACTATTTGTTAACTTACGTCGTAGCTAAGTTATTCCTTAACGCTATAACGTTAACGGTTGTCAACGTGAATGTGTACTGTTATATTTTAAAAGTTGAGGGGGGCATTGAAAACAAGTTAACGTTAGCGTTAGCCAGCTAACTTAATACGTTGTTCATTCAGTAATTGGTTTGGATTTAGTAAGTTAAAGAGGAGCTGTCTACATTTATTTAATTTAGCGTTTGGGTGTACCAGGTCGTTACATAACTGCACAGTATTAACTTAGTAAGTTACGTTCAATAGTTCTCGTTGAACTGTGATGGCGCCCATTGAAAATAAATTCTGTTTCCCTTTCTTGCCAGTGAGGTGCGCTGTTGCATCTTAGTAGGTGGAAAAAATATATCACCCTCAAGGTACTAGGTGGAAAAAAGATGCCAGGTCTGCAGGGTGAAAATGTTGTGGCGGCGCCGGGCAGCCCCATCAAGAAGAGTAAACTGTCTCTGAAGTTCCTCCAGAAGAAAGAAACTAAACGGGCTCTGGATTTCTCTGAGCCTCAAGCGGAAGAACCCAAAGCAGTTGAGCCTGAGACAAGGTGGGTGTGTGCTGTCAATGTGGGATTTATTTGGGGTCATACAAAGTTCAAAATACTGCTTTATTGCCCAGCCTCGCTGATTAATGGTGTACCTGGCTGGCATTTTTTGGGGGAATGGAGTAGCCACACATTAACATATATTTCACACAGTTTCAATCACTCTATGCCCACTGTGCTAACTTAACAGGCTTTGTGAGGACATGATGAGGGATATGTAGATGCAGATACCTTATAATTTGGTATGGAAAGCATCTTTATTTTCCTTAAATCCCTGTCCATGCTCTTGAAAGGAGAATATTCTCCTTATCAACCACTGTTTACTGGTTACCATTTATTATTTAGTCATCATTCTCTCGTTCTCTATTTCAGAGCTGTTCATACTGTTTATATTGTATATACTGTATACCAAATCCACCTACCTCAAGTACACAACACCTGCACATAATACTTATTCATTCCCGCATCCTTTGCACTATGCTCCCTCGCACTGTGGACATGTATGTGCACCTGTATTTCTCAACCACCTCCGACATGTACATAATAATAATAATTTACTTTGTACTCTGCTCATTTCACTGTTGTCTCAACCTGTCTATTGTTTTTGTTTAGAGTGTGTGTGTGTGTGTGTTCTCTCTATACTGTAGCCTGTGTCTGATATTATTGTATAAGTAAGCACATCGTGAGCAAGGTACAGTCCAGATTCAAATTCTTCGAATGTGTACACATACCTGGCAATAAAGCTGATGCTGATTTTATATTTATATACATGATCTGACAGCTCAAAATTGACTGGGGAAAGAACTAAAAATAGTCTCATTAGCCAAACAACACTAAGAAACCCTGACTACCACATAAGCCTACTAAAACTTGATATTTGAATAATTATAGGATTGTATAAAACCTTTAAATATGTCAGATAAATGCTGGGAAGCCAAGGCAAGTTGTAAAATGGGAGAACTCCCCCTGAATATTTATGATCAAGGGATAGAGGGCTGATCTTGGTCTGCTCTCCACATACTCAGAACATTATTGTATTGATAAGCTATTAGTGAAATCTTATTGTGATGCAATAATTATGTTATCGTTGGAGTTTTGAGCAAACTGTAAATATAAAAAAAAACATGTAACTAGTAGCTGATCATGGTTTTCTTCTCCACCATTCAGTGGCTGTGATCAGGTGGTCCCTGGTCCTTCTCCATGTCCAGCCTCACCTGGCCTTGTCCTGCCGTGTGAGAAGAGAGAGAACTTGGTGCCTTTTGTGGGGCTCAACAACTTGGGCAACACCTGCTATTTGAATAGTGTTTTACAGGTGGGTCATCACCAGAAAGACAGAGTGGATGTACACTTTAATGGCAGTTAGACTACAACATACATCAATATAGAAGCGTGATTGTTACATATTGCACTCATGAATATAAAGGATAGTGCTTCACAAAGGAAGTGCATTTATTTGACTGAATAACTTAGAAATAAACAGACAACCAGGGCTTTTTAAAGGGACTGTGCCTATCTTCTGAAATGCAGTTCCTGTTAGGGGTAGGGGAAAAAATCGATACAGCATAGTATCGTGATATTTGCCATGGCAATACTGTATCGATACATGAATGGCAATGGATGGTGATAATATCGTATCGTGGGGCCTCTGGTGATTCCCACCCCTAGTTCCTGTGTCATGTCATATATTACACTGATAAATTGTGATCCACATTTATCACTGACCTTCGTTGCAGGTTTTACTTTTCATAACTTAACAGGAAATAATTGCTGTAGGAAACAAAATGTCACTAAGAATATTGTTGAACCTTGATACTGTATGTCATGGTGTTCTGTAACTGATGTGTGTTCAAATCACATCTGTGGCTTATCTGTATTGGCAGTGTTTGGATATAAATAGACAAGAGACAGACAGGCACTTGTGTCTGCTACAGCTGTTCATATAGAGTTTCTGTAGATGTGGGAACGTATTTCATCTCTTGTTTGGAACAAGACGTTTCCCCTGTAGAGGAAAGAACATGCAATATGTGCTAAGGCAACTCTTACTTCAGGCCATTAGTAAGACAGTAAGGTAACCTCTAGCAGGAAACTCTTCAGTGTTGTATTACTACTTGTGTTATTTTTGTGTACTGCGTTGACAATGTACAAGGTATTTGCAGTTTTAAAAAGGCTTATGTATTAAATAAGTCTTGAATTTCTCTTACATAGTGAAACTTAAAACAATTATTTTACAACAATTATTTTGCCTTACATATGTAGAATAATTCCTTATACAACGTTTTTGTATGTGATTTAAGCAAATTTTATCAGAACAATCCTAAATTCTACTACTCCGCCACTCACCACTGACCTCATGTTAAATATGTAAATAAATTCATGCACTTTGTAAATAAGTCAAGGCCTTATCACCCCTACTGTTTTGTTGATATTGTTCATACTTTTCTGGGAAATGGCTATTAAATTGTATTTTATGTTGTATTACAATTTGTCGTAAAAGTCCTATCATTGTGAATCCTGCAGAGAACATAAGCCATTGCATATTTTAAAAAGTTAACAATGTCAGAGTTTTGGGCTTTTGTAAGGGAAAAAATGTTAATGACTTTTTTTTTTTTATGCACATGTTCAAAATGTCAGTTTTTGGTTTCTTCCATGCGACCCCAAACCGTGACCTCCTGCTCTGAAAGTGTCATTTAGGAAAAAGTAAAGAAGTCAAGGTAAAAATATGATGACTAATCATGTTGATGTCTGATTGTTGCAGGTGCTATACTACTGCCCAGGGCTCAGAGAAGGCATAAAGAGCCTGTACAATCTGTCAAAAAGAAAAGACAAATTAAAGGAAGAAACAGATAAATGTGAAGAGGTTGGTGCAATACAAATAACATTTTTTATTTAAAAAAAAAAAAAAAAAGTACACTTGCAAACCATGGCTTCAGAAATTACAATATTCAGTAAACACCACTAACAATCATAAGCTTTGCACATGTAAATTTAGAGCCGTTATTATAGTACAATCAAACACTAGTGTTCTTGTAATTCTGTCAATTTGATATATATTATATATGAAGGTAAATTTAAAAGATAATTCATTTACTTTTTATTTGTATATTTTCTTTCTTCAACCACATTCTCAGCAGTCAGATGTTGCAGCCGAGGCATTGCCAGCTCAAATTGAGCTCCTTGGGAGCTTCAACAGTCTGATTACATCTGTGGAGCAGCTGCAGTCCAGCTTCCTGTTAAACCCCGACAGCTTCAGTGAAGGAGAACTCGCCACACCACCTCGTAAAATACTCCACACGCTCAGGTAATGATGTGGTTATTTAAATTGTGCCTAAATGGCTGTCATACATTCAGATGGTAAAGTAGCTCATTACTACTCAGATTAATGAGCAGTGTAGGACAAAGCCATGCCTTTTCTGGTACAGAAAAATCCTAAACAGGTTGTGTTTGTGTGTGACATACATGAGTACAATTTTGAACCTTTTGAAACATTTTCTTAAACCACCGTCTGTTATCACCACTGTTGTGACATTTTTGTAATCAACAAACAACTAAATGCACAAGTGTGTATTTAAAATGAAAATTACCACTTAACAGCTTCTCAAGGAGCATGAAGCTCTGCTTCCCAGAGAAATGAGTATGACCACATTGCTTTGATAAATGCATGATTGTTTTTATGATTTTTAAATTTAATTGCTCTAGTCTATAAAAATCCAAATGATGCCCATTTTAAGTTGTCAAACCCAAACTGATGTTAAAATTACAAAATTATTTTGAGCAACAATCAAAACTCAGAATACCACTACAGCTGAAACGTTCATCATTAATTATTTTTCCACCAGTGAACTAATTGTAACAGATGTGTTTGCAGGCAGCTGAACCCCATGTATGAAGGTTATCTTCAGCATGATGCCCAAGAGGTGCTGCAGTGCATCCTGGGATATATTCAAGAGGCCTGTGAAACCATCAGAAAAGAGCAGGAGTTGGAGAGGGAAGGTGAGGATGTGACTGAAGTTAAAGTTGAGAATGGAGTCCAATTGGGTTCCAGCAGCTCTGTCGCGGAATCCAAAACTACCACAGAAGAGGACGGCCAAGTCAGTGGCAAGAGAAAGAGTGACACCGAAGTGGGAAATGCCAAAAAGAAGCCAAAATCTGTCACGTCCAAGAAATCCGATGCTGACGAAGACGCTGTTGTTAGAAATAAACCTCTCACTCGCTCCAAGAGGAGGTCCTCCAGTGACATCACAGTTGACAGCACCCAAGACAAAGACAGAGAAGATGAAGGGATGAAGAAACTGAATATGAAGGAAGGAGGCGGGAGTGATGGTGAGGGGAAAAGTGATAAGGCATCTAAAGAGGCAGATGGGAAACGAAAGAAGAAAACTAGGCTGAGCTGGCTGAGGCCTTCTGGGAAACAACCAAGTATCTTCTCCAAATTCCGCAGCGTGGGGAAGATCAGCTCCATGATTGTGAAGAACCAAAACAGACCAGAGCAGGAGAACGGACTGACGGACGAACAAAGTCAGAATGAGAAGACCAGTGAGGAGAGATCACCACAAGATATGGCTGAAGACAAGAAGGCAATGAAACATCAAGGTATTACATTATTAATGAGGAATGGGACATGGGAAAGATATTTAAACTTATAAATAATTTTAATATGGGTGATCTGTTTTGCCAGGTGCAGAAAATGAGGGATTCATTGAGTAGAATTGATAAATACCAAACTGATAAACTGACAGGTTGGTAACCAGTGTTTCCCATTAATTAACGAGACCATGGCCTACCACAATCTAATTTGTTCCGCCATAGTTTCAAAATGAAACAAATATTTTTACACATCTCCATAATAACATTTCAGACACCTAAAATTGTGTTTTGTGGGCGCTACTGTAAGCTCGCGCGCTCACACACTTTGGCACCCGACTCAAGACAACCACTTTTCTTTTGAGGTAACTACGGTAACGTTAACGGTCTATTTCTGTCACTCGTTAGAGAGAAGGCAATTAAGCTAGCCGCGCCTAAATTTGGAGTTCACACATATTAAAACCTTTATGGTAAATCCACTGAAACGGATCAGTGCGAGCTGACAGGCAGGTTAGTGACTTCTATCCTGTCAGTTTCTCACTTTACAAAGACAAGTGTTGCAGTATGAGAGTCCTACCTGAAGAGAGACAAGGATACACGTGACGTCGTCTGGTTTTCAAAATAAGGTGTCCAGTATGGAAATAAGATTACAAAACATATTACAGGTGTCCATTAAAAGTTAAATAAAAAATTTTGCACCAAATTAATGCATTTAACTTTAAAATGTACAAAATATTCTTCTTATGATGTTGGTTTAGTGTTCTCTCTCTCTGGGTTATTTTATTTTAAAAGCAGCTTTCAAACAGTTGGAATAGAGTGTTAAAGAGTAAGAAGGGAAAAAGATTAGACTCCTGGTCACTGAGTTGAACCTCTGGCTTGGGAAATCAGACCAATTCATTGCATATGTTTTCAGTCATAAAATAACAGATCACTCAGCCATTTCTGTTTTTCTGTTATATTCAGATGGTCTGGACCTGATGGAGCGCTTGTTTCAAGGCCAACTGGTTCTGAGGACTCGCTGTCTGGAGTGTGAGAGCTTCACGGAGAGGAGAGAGGACTTCCAGGACATCAGTGTCCCAGTGCTCGATGATGAACCCAGCAGCCCAGACGACCCCTCCGAGGGTGAGGATTTTAACAGCTCTTTGCCTCAAAAAACAATCTATTTATTGCAAACAATCTAGCTAATAATTTAAAGGAGCTGTAAGTGACATTTCACTGCCATTAAATGTCACTCTAGAGCACCATCATCTCGGACCAAAATAAACCCATGTTACAGCCAACCATACTCCATTGAGATAACCAGTAATTTTACCTAGTTGCAGCTCATTTTAAAGGGGTAGTTTGGGATTTTCTGAAGTGTGGCTGTATGAGGTTCAGACAGAGTCAGTGTATTACCTGCAGTAGATGGCTGTCAGGGCACCCCCACTTTGGGGAAGCAGAGTTGTACCAGCACAGAAGCTAAGGAATATACTGCTGTGGACAAGGGCAGCAGCAAATCGTATTTTAGCCACCAAAAAAACCCACTTCAAGTGTACACTATATTTACAATATTTTCGGTGCTTTACCTTGCCGTCAGACAGCCATTTCCTTTGCAACTACATTTTTCAATTGTAGAAGCTCTGTATTACTACGCTTAAGCGCAACTTGGCTGCGCACTGAGTTACACCGCCACCATAAGATCCATTTTGTTTAACCAGAAACAGCAGTTACATTGCAAACAGACATGAAAACCTTGCCCAGTTCATTGTTAAAGTATTTTATATCCAAATAATTGATCCAATAACTGGTGTCTCCTCTCTTCACAGTCTCTCCGGATCCTAAATCAGAGCTGAAGACTCTGAAATGGGCCATCGCCCAGTTTGCTTCAGTGGAGCGCATCGTTGGGGAGGACAAATACTTCTGTGAGACCTGTCATCATTACACAGAGGCTGAGAGAAGTCTGCTGTTTAACAAAACTCCTGAAGTGATCACAATTCACCTGAAGCGCTTCTCTGCCAACAGTTTAGAGTGAGTTGATGAATTGTCAACACATTTAACTTTTTTGTATTTCAGTCGGTTTTTTTCTTCTTTTTTTCAGTATTGTCTTCTAAAATACTGTAGAGTAACTTCTGTCCTGCAGTGGCCACATATTGACAGAAATACACGTTTTAAAGGGAGCAAAAAGTTGAACTTTTTGAGCAATGTTGCTGGGCAATCTTGCTGGTAGCAAGTCCAACTATGTTTTGAAGGGGGGGCGGGGGGGGATTACGGTTGTAATCTTTAATCATTACTATTGACAGCAACATTGCCCAGCACCATTGCTCTAAAAGTTGCTCCGTGTATCATCAGCTTAAGTCTGCATCTGAAAAAATGTGCTGTATATGTTGCTGCATTTTTAAGTAGAACATGCTTACACTAATAGAAAGTTGAGAGAAAAATTTGTTATTGACAGGTAACCAGACTAATAAAAAAAACTGCACTTGGCATTTTTAAAAATAGATTTTAAACTAGAATTGTATCCTAAATAAAAATTTCAATTGTTATATTTGAATAAGGAACTGATTTTGCCCTCAGTGGTTACAGTAGTAACCACAGGCTGCTTGGCTTGTTTGCTCACATTGGCAACATCATTGTAATCAAATAGGTATTGATAAATAATCAATAAAACACTATTTATACAAGTGGATTTAAATAATGTTCTCATACAATAAACTAATGAAGTCTGGTATTACACAGGAAATGTCTCAGCCAAATTCAGAATTGTCCTTTTAAATACAGTGATTGTGATAGATGTGTGGTATTAATCCCTTCCTCTCCTGGTTTCTTTCCTTCCTAGTTTGGACCCGTATGCAGGTCTGTCTAAAGTGAACACTCCCTTGCAGACGCCTTTGACCTTGTCTCTGGACGAGTGGTGCACTCGACCCTCATCCACAAAGGGTCAACACTATGAGCTGTTTGGCGTGGTTATGCACAGTGGCGTCACCATCAGCAGCGGCCACTATACCGCATACGTCCGCATGTCCGATCTGAAAGATGTGAAGCTCTGGCTGCGGGACAAAAAAGAAATGGGGGGGGAGGAGGAAGAGGAGAAGGAAAGTAAGGAGGGACTGCGGGTGAAAGATGAAGAGCTGGACTACGATGATGGGGAGGTGTCTTTCAGCCTGAATGCAAGGGGACAGAGAGGTGCGAGTTTGGCTAGCAGCAAAGCGGGAGGCAAGAAGCTATCAGAGGGGGGGGTTGGACTCTTGGGGGGCCAGAGGAGTTTGTCTAGTTGTGACCTTGGGAACAGCAAACACACAGAGAAAGCGGCCAGCAGTGGAGCAACAGAGGGATCCAAACGGAGAAAAACCATCAAGAGCCTGGGCCAGAATACTGAAGCAGGACTTAAAAAGGAGTCTGAGGCTGCAGAAGGAGAGGAGGCATCGATGACTTCCTGTGGTGGGGTGGAGGCCACGGAGCAGCAGGCTTTGAACAACCTCCTTGAATATGAGGGCAAATGGCTGCTGTTTGATGACTCTGAGGTGCGTTTGTTTGAGGAGGAGGATTTCCTGCGAGCCTGCTCTCCTGACAGATGCTGCTCATCGACACCTTACCTGCTGTTCTACAGAAGGATGCAGGAACCTGCGCACTAACATGAACACGAGGGGGAGGGTTGTGCCTGTCAGGCTTTTTGGCAGCTGAGCACCCAGACAGAGGACAGTTGTATTTTGCAATACAACAAACAGTGCCAAAAAATACTGTGGCTGCCATATTAGCACCTGAACTAGAGATAATTTTCAGCCCAGAAAACCTCACAGCTATACTGTGGTCTCACTGTGGGACCAAAGATATTTAGACCTCATGGACTCGTATTCCAGGACTCGCCTCAGATGTCCATGAGCCAATCTGGTCATATTTAGAAACCCTCTGACAAATGGGGATTTAATTTTCTACATGCCAGGGATGACTTCAACCTTTAGAAACATTTTTTGGGTGCGACTCTTACCTTTTGTAAACAGTTGCATGTGTTTTTTCTTTTCTCAGTTATGTTTGTACAGTTCCTTTTTACAAATTGGAAAAGCACTTTTGGACTAAAATTTTATCGAATGAAAATGTTGAGTACTTTTTTTAATTTCATTTTTTATAGAACACTGTCAGTGCTGTGTATATTTGGAATAGATTACTCAACTAAAAGCCAAATAAGACAAATCATTTCTACTTGCAAAGCAATGCATAACATGCTTCATGATGTTAGTGAACAATATTCTGCAGGTTTAAGAAAAAGCCTTTGCTCACCTTTTGCACTGACTCCAACATTTTTGCATACAAACATGAACACTGTTTCATAGATCTGAAGCCTGAAATTGATGGAATCTATGCTGGAAAAGCCTACAGTATTGGCCTGGCTTGTAAGATTTTGTAACAGCACATTTTTACATGAAACACACTAAAATGTTAAGCATCTATTATATACCAAGCATGTACATATTTTGTTGGTACTAGTGATACTCAGTTTCTGCAGGGTGCTCAGCAGCAGCAGCTATTTCTCACTCAGGAGCCTTTTCAAGGTGCAAATTCAAGAGTGAAGATACATGAAACTCTTAAATTTATATCTATACTAAGCGATCATGTTGAGTCAAAATACATTTAGCAAGGTTATGAAAAACTTTCTCTGAGAACACTCTTTCATAACAATTTGCATGTGCAAATGTGGATCTGTTTATTTAAGGGTTTGTTGCTTAATTCGGCGAGAGGGAAGGGTCAAAGACAGGAGGGTTTAGTATACAGAGTAAATCTAACCTTCTCAGTGAGACAGACTCCCACAGCATGACCCGCTTTCAGTTCTGTTTTTGCACTTGTTCTTTAGAGAACAGGATCTGTTAAAGTTTGGTCAAGACAAAACAATTAAACAAGCACAAATTGAGAGTGCAAAGGGACAGATTCATATGACTATAACAAGTTTGAAGAGTCACATGTGCAACCAATTTTAAGACATCTGAGCAGGATGGATCTGACTGCTTGCCTATTTCATAGCTGCATACTTTCACTGTCAGCAGTTTGTATTAATTGTGTTAACTGTAACAGAGCATTGCAGAACTAAGTGCTTTGACTTGCAGTGAATTAACATTCTACCGCACTCAAATATTACGCTCGTCCCAGGTGTGGTCATTTTTCCAGACAAATCTAATCCCAGCAACCGGATTTCAACATGTCTTTTTGTTCACTAATGTTCAGGTGCTCACAATCAGCCAAACAAGCTGGAGAAAATGTGTGATTTGATTTTGCTCTCAGAACTTGTTCCTAGCTTATGAACTTATTCCTGTGAATGCTCAAATGACTTTCCTACTGATTATAGTTTTGTGCTTGTTTAGTGTTTTTTTGGTAATTAATAATATTGCACATCTTGACGTGTGAAAAATATGATAATTAAGTATTGCGCCTATGGAGTAAAATTATCAGTATAGGTGAAACTGTTCATCTCAGGTTATGCAGCAGACTGTTTGAAAGGCAGTTTCAGGGATTGAATCAGTTATCTAGTTGTGCTTTGTGAGTAACACCTACGGGCTATTATTTCGCTATAAATCATAAAACTGGGAAAGGTTTCCAAAGCAAGTTTTGGAATTTAACAAAGTGCTTATAGATCTGGTTTAATGTGATGTGACAACAGCCTCAATAAGTGTTGTCTCCTTTAAACTGTACCTCATTCCAGCTGTTATTCTATTATGTTGGCAGGTTCATACTATCAGCAATAAAGTTTTTACCTTCACAAGTCCTTTGCCAGTCCTTTTCATTGTTGCCAAAGATAGTGATACTCTTACATCCTACTGATTTGTTGTCTCCAACATAACAATCCTTTATAAACACAAAACACATTAGGAAGCAAGAGGTTTACCAGCGTACGCCAACTGAACATTAAAATATTTATTTAGTAAAATATTTAAAACAAAACAAAACTACATAAAATTATACAAGTATGTTTGAAGTACCTAACTTTCAAAACATTATTTCAACTAAAAACGATAAAGCATCATGATAAATAATGGTACCATTTTTTGCATGTTTTTTTTTTTGAATTACATAAACTTTCAAGTTGTAAAATGCATTGCTACACCGTGATAAAAAAAGTGCACACATGAAAATTAATACAGATTTTTGACACAGTACATAATTAAATAGACACCTTGATTTTTAAAATCTTCTCTGCAGACTTGTAAAAATGTGGCAAAAAAAAAAAGTTTTTTGGCACTTTAACCGCTAAAGGGATTTCAGAATCTGCTTGATGGAAACTAACAGGCCACAGAATATGAAGAACGCTCTGTTGGTTTCAAAAGTAAAGGCTAATATTAGCTCTTTTAATGGTACCATAGGGACAAATATAAAGACTTGCTCCCTTGTGTGACGACAAATGGTCAGCAAAGAAAAATTCTAAATGCCAAGGTATCTTTTTAATATTTAAGATCCACTTGTTCGTCCCTCTCATTGTGTAAGTTTGTCTGTAAACAAATTAAGACACTGGAATGACGTACCAAACTGTAACACCTTAGCCTGTCTTTTAGCACACGCTCCGAAACACTGACCAACTCCTATTTACACTCAAGAATAAATTAATATTGCAATTTCTGTTATGCGTGTGTGTGTGTGTGTGTGCGTGTGTGTGTGCGTGCCTGTATTCTCTTCCTCTTTAAAAGTCAAGCTTGCGAAGACTCATTCTGCTGAAGGAATCTCTGGAAGTCAGGAAAAAAGAACATGTTTTCATTTACAGACAGAAAGATCATCAGACTTTTTCATTGATCAAGAAGGTGATTTTGGCGATTTGGCCTTTAGGGTACCACCAGGATAAATTTAAGACCTTTTTAATACCACCTAGGATGAAATCTAATGCCAACTTCAAACACACTGAGCCATGAGATTTTTTGTTGGCGCAGCTATGCAGCTGCCAGAATTACGGTGTTTCTGCCGTTGTTCTACGTCAACCACAGTTATTGCTGTGCTGTTACTGCTACAGGAAGTAGCCCTGTAGTAGTATTTCATTGGCTATTAACTGGCTTCACTGCTCTCCATTCAAATCAGCGGGGTGGCTTTGTCCAGTAATATACTATCTATAGTCAGTCCGCACGGAGTAAATTGTAAAGTCACACACATAAAAAATATTTATGATATTAGTGCATTTATTGAATCCTACGAAAGGACAAGAAAAGATTTACGAACTTTGTAAATTAAATTAAATACTTTGTAATGGAAATTTAATACTTTTAAGGCCTTAATTTTAGAATGTAAAATTGAAAACTTCTTAAATACTTTTAAGACCCCGCGGGTACCCTGTTTAAGCACAATGATTTTGGCATAATGTAGGCTGGTAAAACTGCTATTTTCATTGTTTAAGAAATCTGGTATGTGAGAAGTGAGAATAGCAAACCTGGGAGGACTAAAATGTCCAATAATATTTTCATCTGTAGAACCAAACTTTAAAATCCACATGCTATATGACTGAGGTAAAAGACAAATATAAGATTCCCACTGTGATCAGCATTTACATATGTCATGTTAGGCTGTAATCACATTGACTAAATGGCACTATTCATTCTTTACTTGCTAAGGTTGATGTTTTGTTTTGTCTTTTTAAAGTTTATGGTCTTCACTAGTAGACTTGTCATTATGAATTGATAATACTGTATTGCTGAAAAATTCTTTTCTGGAAGGGAGCTTTAAACTGCCCTTACATTCCAGAAATTCAGTGACTGCTGGAAACCATAGAATATAATACAAACACAGGACATAGAGACTCACAACAGTGTCACAAACTACCTTGTCAAGCTGTCCGTTTGCTGCATGATTTTTACAGAGGCAAAAACAAAACAACTGATTTAATGTTCCAGGTCTCTCTTGCAAAAGAGATTTTAATCTCAATGAAACTCACCTGGTTAAATAAAAAATATTCCATCCAAAACATTATCCACACTCACACTTGCTCACTTTCTCTCTCTCTCTCACATACACACACACACACACGCACAGTGTCCCTGTTCAGTCCTACCTGTGCGAGTTGACCTGCAGCACAGGTTTATAAAGCTGAGGGATCTTTCTGTTGATGAGGGGCTGCAGCGCCTCTTTCAGCCGGTGATAATTCCTCTCCAACTCCCTCTGGTACTCTTTCTGGTCTGGACCAATCAGGCTCTTATTCTTTCGCAGGGCATCTTCACACCTTTGGCAGAGAAGTCCATCAAACACTGGCAGGTAGATTCTGTACTACACTGTAGATGGAGCTTACTGGGGCATTTAGTCATGTTAAGGTCGTCATCTCTAGGTGTAATTCAACATTCACTTTTAAGCTAACTGGTGAAGTTCTCAAAGCAGCCATTAGAAATAAAGAAGTGTTGTGTTTTGCCCAGAAATCAAAATGAACCCATGAAACGAGAGGCAGACACTCTGCAACATCAACAGCAGCTTTTTGACTTATTACATAACTCTGATAAGATACTAATTTCTCTTAATTACAAGATAATGTTCTCATGTGTCTCTCTAATGTGCTTCCATATTAAATCATTTCCAACATGCTGCATCTGTTCACAGGTATGTGAGTCATCATCCATAGTCCATACCTCTTTGTGAAGTCTTTGAAGCAGAGCCTTAGCTTATTGTGGTGTCTGTACAGCTTCGGGTCACTGGGGATCTCGGACAAGAACACCTGAGCTACCTCCAAAGGACCCTAAGGAAAACAGTTAATATGATTATCCTTCTACAACTTTACTCAGCCCAATGTACCAATGCAAATAAAGCAAGCTTATATACCTGACATCTAGAAAACTTTACCTGGTTGACAGTTGTGCCCACTGATCCCTGTAGAACCATCTGTAACATCTTTGCATCAGCAGGGTCCTGGTGGGTGGCAAAGGCCAGCTCCTGAGTCTTCTTCTGCATGTCCTCTATTGCCACCTCGATGGGTGTGGATATAATCTGGAAAGTGACAAGGAGACAAGCAGTTTTAGTGACCATGGCGCACAGTGAGAGTTGGATAATACAGCTCCCTTTTATTACCACCTAATTTTTTAACTATTATCCTTTCACAGGTGGAGATAAGCTAATATATGTTTTTTAAAAATAAAAAAATGTAAATATGTAATAATGGCGTGGTTGGCTCTCTGAGAAGAAATCAAGAGAAACTAAACCAGTTACTGGAGAAAAAAAAGAAGCTTTAAATGAAAGTAACGGTTCACCAACCTCCTCTTTGTGGATGATGTTTATGCGTGTCTTGATGTAAGGGAAAGCGTGTGAAGTGGTGAGGATGGTCTTGCGTTTGAACTGTTCGTGCAGGTCCCCATGGGCCCGCCCATCCAGTGTGAAAGGGGTGCAGTAGACGAAACGTCGCAAGTTGTAGTTCTTGTCAAAGTAAGTGATGCGGTCTTTCATCTCGTACGTGTCAAAGTACGGCTCCACATATGTGATCTGGATGAATGCCTGTAGAAATAAAAGACAATATTTTTTATTAGTTAAGTTTTTTGATTGTGTAGGTAAAGATGGATGCTCGGACTAAAAGCTTGAACACAATCCCTCTAAACAGTGTTCACAAACTAGGCCATTTCCATTCCATTTATCTAACAATGTGGGAATGTACACTTGACCTTGTTTGGGTCCAACTTGCACTTGTCCACTGGGTTGGAGTCCTTTATGACTTCTACCTGGTCCTCTCCAAATCGCTCCCCATAGAAACCCTGAGAAGAACCAACACAAAACCTCATTAGTTCTTAGCAGAAGACTACAAAAAGCACACAAAGCAAAGGATTTTAAGGATCATGATATTACAAGAAAATCTCCTGCCTGCATGGAGGTATTTACCTCTAGCCTGTGAGAGATTTCCGCAAGCTTCGTGATGGCAGGCTCTTTGTACACAAACTCCTGTTCGTCCAAGTCGCCAAATTTTGAACCGTAAAATCCGACTCTGAAGTACGTACCAAACATCCTCTTTCCATCCTGTGAGCAGAGGAAGATTAATGTCAGTGCTGAGCAAGAATAGAAATTAAATTCATGTAAGAACATGTTTATTTTGATCCACACCATAAAACTGTAAAAATTAGAGAGCAGACTGAGATACTGCGTAAACTGGAAACTCCCACAATGGTGAGCTTTTTATGCTGATTGCGATTACATTTTGTAATCAACTGTGGCAACCAAATGATGGCCCTTTTTTGCTTCATCATCTGATGGGAAGTCAATCCATCATTGGCAGACCTCAGTTCCAGTTGTGATTGTGTAGTTCACAGGAGTGAGGAAATGGAGAAAAGGTTGTAGTTCATTCAGAGAAATAACAGCTAAAAATGCAACAGCAAGTAACCTGCATGGCAATCTGCATATATAGCTAACATAGATAAAACGACATCAATTTCATGTAAGTGACCTGCTTGCTTATTGTGTCCACTGAGGTGCAGTCTATACAAGAGCATATGATTGGTTTGAAAAATGTCTACTGAAGCCAGTGTCACATAGAAAACAGCCAACATGAAGTCAGCAACCCACAGTCCCATATATTTGAACCCCTTGTAGATGTTTCAGTTTGCATGATCTTATTCTGCAGCTTTTCCACAGTCAATTCTATACTTGTTAAGTACACAGAGGACAGCAGGTGCAGCGTTTCACTTCACGGTAAAAGGCAGAGTGTAAAAAATCAACACGAAACAACAACCTCTTTCACCAGCTAGCAGAATAGTCACAAGTTTACTATTCAGTTCACTATTATTCAGATAAAAACTGAAATCAACACATATTTTCTGTCTGCGTTCTGCTGGGTTCTGAGAAAAATAGGCCAAGCTCAAAGATAGCAACAGAAAAGGTTGCTTGGAAAGAACATCCAGAAAGCAACTTAGACATTAAAGTCTGAGAGCACAGCAGGTCTGATACAAGTGTATGCGAGTAATCAAGTGTGTATGTGTGTGTAGAAGATGAGAAAGGGAGAAGCTGTGGATAAGCTGTGGATAAGTTGTGTAGGTTGGCAACTGACTTCTAGTAAAAATGTATTAAATCAAATCTGTGGTAGTTTGAGGCAAATCTTAAAAATCCATCTTGTATTTTCATTGCAACTGCTGATTCAAAAGGAAATGTCAGCAGACATTTAAGAGGCCCTGAAAACTAAGGAACTTACCACAAGACACAATTAAGTAAAGTGGGAAGGAAGGGTCGGCAACCAGGCAAATCAAAAAGGAGAAAACAGAACAAATTTTAATGAGGATTGGGTTCCTCCAGAGAATTTCAAAAACAACACAAACAAAAATACATCAGCAAAAATATCTCTATTGATTTTGAGGAAGAACATAAACTTATTGTGGTGGATCCAGACCATGCAAAGGCAGACAGTTACGAAGAAAAAAGAAAGACAAAGTGAGAAAATAAAGATCCACCAACTTCAGAAGCACAAGATGCACTCTCAGTGCATTTCCAAAAGGAACAGAGTGCTCTGTCCATTTCATGCAACAAACCATGAGAACTCAGAGGTTAATAATGTTAACAAAAGAACAGAATGGATGAAAAATAATCAGGGGTCGATTTAGTTTGAACTATTAAAAGAAAGGACAACAATAAGAACTAATCAAAATCACAAGGGATAAATCAAGTAATCCTGAGATTACTGTGAGTTGAACCCTCTTGGAAAAAACCTGACTTCCTCAGGAATTTGGTTCCAGCTTCGACCCAATGCCAAGTCTGCAACACATTGTGTTTTAAAAGGCTCATTTAATGGTGTAAAAAGAACGACCAATGGCTAGAGCAGGGACGCTAAAAGATATCCTTCGCATAAAAACAGTGCACTAAAATCGAGCCCTGTAGTTGAAGATGAGATGAGATGAAGTGTGACAGAAAACCAGTCAATGAGTGTGTTCTGACTGACACACCAGCAGACAGACAGAAGATGAGGACAGGGAGAGTGCGGATTGTGCAGGTGATGCATTCATTGAAACTTGTGTCATTAGTGTCACACACTGTGGCTCCCATGCACAGCCTGCCAACACTGTCACGTTATAAAAACAAGCTCCTCTCGCATATTAAGAAGAGGGAGGAGAGAGGAAAATGGTGAGGGTGCTGCTTATACAGCAAGTGTCCCCAGCGGGGGCAGACAGTTGACATTGTCTGCAGATGTTAATGGATTGAATGTATGTAACAAAGCAAAGAGAGCAACTGAATGCCCACAGCTAGCAAATAAAAATAACAATACAAAAAGATAAACAACATGAGCAGGGCCAAGCAGGAACCGTTTAGCCACCTACCTCCCAGCCAGTACTCTGTGTGACAAAGAGAATACAGGACAAGTGAACGACAACACACATACACGCCCTACACACAGTGTGGCATTTGCACACAGTGATGTTACAGCAAGGAGAATGGACTCTTTGAAACTAATCCAGGTTACTAACTGTCGAGCTGGAGAACAGAGCAACTGGCCTCTGCGAAAATAAAGGGTATTAAGGATAAGTTGCTCTGCACACCAGACGACTGTAACCTTGCCCACACTGTAAATTGACATCGTCATTATGAGTCACACAACTGGCCTTTAAGAAAAACCACTACAGGAGTCTCTTCCAACGTCGTTTGTTTCATACTTCACAAATATAATAGAACATGCAAGGTGTCTTATAAATAAATAAATACACTGGAATTAAAATGGCAAATAATATAACCATGCAAAGCTGGATCTGTGTGAAGGCTAAACAACAAGACTACATTTCCAGGGTATTTCCTATTGTATTTGGTGTCGTTATGCAGCCTTGTGCTGTATAATGACAAATAAAACAACCTTGAACCTTGTTTCTTGTGTCAAGACCGTGAAGACTGCAAAGTATTCAGAAGCATTGTAAATGGAAGAACACTGCTCTTTGTAGCCTGACCCTGTTTTTGTCCCATGTTTCTATAATAAGATCCAGCTAGAAGAACCTGAACCCTTCTACAATGCCCACTACCTGTGACGGATGTAATATGTGACAAAAGTGCATATGTGCAAAACATTCACGTGACTGTCAGGGAGGTTTTGGGATGTTCCTTTTGAGTGAAGATATTTGAACATGCTATTCTTGATTTTATATATATAAAAATCAAGAATAGCATATATACTGAATTTACACAGTAACAAACAAAATGTACTATAACCGTATGTAACCCAGATGTGATCTTTTCATAGCAAGAGACTGACTGACTCAAATCTGAGTCACACTGAGATAAATAAAATTACTTTTGGTTCTTGTGTAAATCTAGTGTCAGCTTCACTTCCAGTGTGGAAGGTGAGGTCTACACTGTGTGTGTTTACCTGATGCACAATTTTGCCAAAGGCTTCCTGTAGTTTACCATGAATGGTGGCTAGCTTCTTTGCATCCCTGTTGGCTTCATGGATAGGGATCAGTACCTTATACACTTCGTTTACTGCCTCATACATGCCCGCCTGGAAGGGAGTTACAGACAAATGTTATTATGGTACAATCAGTCATCCAAAAGTAACAACACCTCAGCCTAAATGTATATATTTTCAGAGATTTAAAGGCCTGAATTAGGATCACTGGAGAAGTTACACTGACATCTGACTATAGATTTGTAATCATTACTCGTTCTTTACAGATTTCCCCACAAGAAAATTGGGGTGAATACACTGCTGAAGACAATGACATATTTATGAGAGTAAAACGTGTCAATGTGATTGGTGAGAGAAAGAGGAAGCCACTTGCTACAAAATTCCTGACTACATCATTGGAATGCTCGTCAACATCCATTCATCAAATCTCCCATCTATGTTTCACTTCTCACCATGGAGAAAGAGGCAGCAGCCTGCTCCAGGAGCCCCACAAGGCCAATCTCAGTGAAGTATTTCCCTGAGCAAATGCCCTCTTCATCTGGTGACACCACATCATCAGAGACTGCAGATTCCTCTAGCACGTTGGAAGAAATATTCTGGATAACAAATACAATAAAAAAAATATAAGCACACACATCAGCAGACATTTCTATTGCCAAAAGACAAGCATATGTGCGCACATTACATGTGTCTAGCACTCTGCTTACCTGGAAGGTGACACAGCCTACAGGCAGATACTTGCGGTCCTCCAGCATGCTCAGGTATTCTGCGACCAGAGCAGCGCTGTGCACCAGACACTGAGCAGCCTCAGCGTGGTTGTTCCTCTCCGAGTGTTTTCCAGCCATGTTCTGAAGCCATGTCAGCCGCAGGTCTGGGGACGTCTGGTAACCCTTTGCAATCCTGAGGATGGACATGAAAGTAAAGACACAGACACATGACAAACACAAGACAGCACATAAACAACAAGCTAATGATGAGCACAGTGCAGAAATACATCTGCAAGCAATATAAAAAAAGTGAATGTGCATGTATTCTGTACCTGTACATGAGATCTATCAGCATCTCAGGGTCTTCCTGGTGCTCCTTCATCTTGACTGTGTCAGACAGGATCATGTGCAGATTAAACACAAGGTCCTGGACCTGGGGGGGTGAAATAATGGAGACACTGGGTTATTGCTTCCCCAATCTTTTATCATAGAGAAATCAAGGGGAAAATCTGTTAATTCAGTAAATAAAATCAATGAAAGTTGCCAGTCAGTCACCCGTCTTCTCACACTGTGATGGACAACAACTAACCATTTTAAAGAATAAATCAGTACCTGGTCTGGGAATGTGGTCTCTCTCAGCTCCAGGTCCTCCTCTGCATAGGTGAGGATGGTCTTTAGAGAGCGACGCAGAAACTCCTCGTTAAAATTCTGAGATGTTCCCACCAGTGAAGACAGAGACATGGTCACTTGCATCTTCACTCTTGCGAAGTTCTGAAAAGGCAACCAAAAAGACAAGAAAGGTTCGAACAAATAATATTTTGTCAAAGGTACTAGTTTTCATGTGACCGATATGGACAATGAAGGAAGCACTCTAAAGAACAGATGTCTATTCTAGCTTGGAAGTCATTTTCATAAAGGTCTGTGTGCGAAATGTCTGCCTGTACTTAAAGGAAATGATGCATTCACCAGTAAATTGGCCTAAAGTTGATGGCTGATTGCGGTGTTTGGTTTTGTACTAAATTGGGTGATGTAACATGAAAGAAAAATAGGAAACCAAACCAACAAACCAATAAGAGAATATAGATGAGAAATGGCCAACCAGCAAGTGAACAAGTAGGGCCTGCAAAGCACATGGCTTCTTAACATGTGAGATTCAATTACTTTAACCTTCACCACTGATACATTGTACTAGCTCTATGAAAACTATACTCCAGGGTTTCTTTAACATTTACAACCCCCCTTTCGTGAACAAATGTAGCTATCAAACTACTAATATGACATTTTGGGTTGTAAACCTTGAGTTTGTCAGTAGTACTCACGTTGCCAATCTCAAAGTTTTGCCTCATGAGGAGGTAGAGGGAGGCGCTGGCATGGGACCTGATGGTACTTATGCTGCTGCTGCAGCTCCTCAACAATCGCAAACACAGATCAGCACACTGCTCCGTTTCTTCCTCGAACAGAAGTTCAGGAAACTACACAGGCAGAGAGAAATACACCCCAATTGACATAATACAAGAATGAAATCCTGGAAGAAATTGCAAGGACGACCTGAAGCACTTTAATACAAGTCCAGTGATCTTACTTTAGACACCAGTGCCCTCTGTGTGGCAAAACAATGCTGGAGGTAGAGGGCACTCTGGTTGCAGGCCATGCTGTGGAGCAACACCTTTAAAACGCCACCCAGTATACTCTCCTTGGACTCGGTCACTGATACCGTCTGGAGAAAGAGGGACACATGCAGTTGTTATGGGAGCATGTCAGGGTTTATGTATGCTTAAGTGTTAGACTACGTTACTAAATGATTTCAGTATTTTTGATTATATTCCCATTCTGCATGGGTACATGATGAAAGTCCTGTTCAATTTCATACCTGTACAATGATCTCCAAAGTATCAAGAATAATTATGTTGGCTTCTGTTGCAAGGTTACCATCAATAAGTGCTTCATGTTCCAGCTCTGCTCTGGTCCTACAATCAAGAAACCAGAAAACACTGTCACAAAAGGATTACCTTTCCCAAATTGCGATGTTAATGACGTACCCTTCAGTGTGCATATGCTTCTAGTGACCAACCACAAAAGGCCAATTTTGTTGATTTGATAAACTTGATGAAATATAGAAAAGATATAAAATAGAAAAAAAAGAAAGCTGTTCATCTATCCATATTTAATTACTTTTATGGTGCAAGATGTCTCTTAAACTACAAGGGACAAACTTCAAACTATTCAATTGATCCAGTGCATGCTAATCCACATGTACAGTTGGTTCAAACCTATAGCTTCCCTCACCACGGGGGTATGAGGTTGAAGGCGTTAAGGAGGCTGTTCTTCAGTATTAGTGAACAGCTAAGTAATCCATTCCTGGTTGACATATGGAACACAAGGGCTAAATGTTTTGTCTACATGTCCTAAAATGGCTACATTTGAGAATATGAAAGTATAACTGACTGGCATTTATTCATGATGCATCTGAGTTTTATATTTTGCACAAGAACAAAGAATCTATGACAAACAACAGAAATTGCTACATTTGTGTTGCTTTTTGCTGAAGATACACAAATCAAAACCCCAAAACAAGAAGCACACTGGTTAAAAAGCAAAACAGACCCACAGCAACCACTACCCTGAGACAGACATTGTTACCAGGACAAAGGGACTGATGGAATGGGGGATTCAACTGTCAGAACCAGGATCAGGGGGTCTCTGGTGCATTCATATGCAGGTGTGAGTTAAGGAAGTCACAATGGAGAAGAAATGAATCATAACATGGGTGCATCGATGGCTAGAATAATTAACAAAAACAAAATGAATTAGCAAATCATGACTTGTTTAAAGCCAAGTTAATCAGTAGGAAATCTAATACAAACTATTTAATTCATTTTGTGTCCACTGCAACTGTCTAACTGCCCACAAGCATGTGAATACACCATAAATGAGGAACTGAAGCAGGGGGGGGGAATTTAAGGGGCACACAGCAAATGTGGACCATACAATACCTGACTGATCTGTGACTCCTACATAAACACACAGCAATGTGAGAGAACAAATGGAAATTAACAGAAAACAAAGGCTGGAGCTGAATTTACAAAAGAACAGACAAAAATAAAAAATAAAAATAAAAAGCTTAGCACTGTATCTTTTGTCACCCTTTGACAAAATGAGTACAGCTTGCATTGTGACAAAAGTGACATAAGATACAAAACTATAGTTTTTTTTTTAAAGTGTGCATGCAACACAGATATGTGAAGATGCTGGGCAAATATAGGCATTGTAACAATTTTAAAAGTAAGACTGATTCTGTTGCTATGTAAGTAAAGCAAAACATATGAACAATTACAATGAACACTGAATGGGCTTTGTGATGGTTTGTATTTATCACTAGATGGACTTTAGTGATATCCTGATAAGATGATTAAAGGATGATAATTTTCACACTTTTATTTCACATTTGAACACAGTACATAATGTATTGGTTTATGTTTCTAAATGACAGATTGTACTCAAATAAAAATAGAAAAGAAGCACAGGTGGTGAAGATTTAAAGTGGTGATGGACATATTCATACACATTTATGGATTATGTTAAATTATCTATGTGTGTTCCTTTTATAGAACATAAACCACAGAATAATCAGCTTGGGATATTTTGGGAGTATCTTTTAGGTTTTTTGACAAAGTAAGAATTAAGAAAGTGGATTAAGTGTTCAAAAGAGCTTACTTGTCCATCTTTTCACTGTTTTGTCTCCAGTGGGTCATGTCCTTCCTCCATCTAAGGTTCTCCTGACTGCCAAAAGCACTGCCAGATGGACTCCGCTCTAAATGGTGGAGAAAGGATTATTTACTTTTTTATTAGTGGTGAAAGAGTGTGTACACAGTAAACATGGCACAATACTTTGGCTGAATGGCTGTAGCTGTATCTACAGTACTATCAAAAGTTACAGTTGTATGTGTGTGATGTCTGTATGCATGTGTGCAGGTTGAAAAGCAGCACATAGTAATTATTGGTGGTCTGTGTTTCACATGTTACAGCCTTGCTTTGTATTTGTTTATGTATGGTTCTACTGTGTTTTCCCCCTGATATGCAGTTGTGTGAGTGAATTTGTGAGCATGTGCCAAAAAGCGCACCCCCACCTAGCTGTCCCCGGCTGCGTCGCACCATCTCCTGCCTGGCCCCAATGCTGCCCAGTATGGCCTCCTCCAGCTTGGCCTTCATGTCTTTGGACTTCTTAAAGGTAAGGCTGTTCATTCGTTCAAATGCCTTCTTCCCCTGCATGGTGAACACAACATGGGCCTTGTATCCATGAGGCACAGGATGAGTGAATGGACAAAGAACACAGCGGGGAAGTTATTTGTAGCACAGCACTCAGCAAGCAAAGCAGGTTAGCAGTATAAAAGCTTATGTGCAAGCACAAAAACAGCAAACAAACAGCCTAGCTACAAGAGCTTGAAATACACAGAAAGAAATAGATGACTATAGTATAAAAAGCAGCAAGAATGCTTTTATTTTACCACCACATCCAGAAGTAAAAGCACATTAAAGGTGGGTTATGCAATTCTAATCCAATACACATCTTTGTCAAATTCAGGGAATATCTCCTATGTGCTGAAAAAAGATGTTTGTACACAGCCCTGGCTCTGTAAATGGGAAAAAAACAAAGCTGTTTTTGTGATGTTAGCCATAACAGCAGGAGAGTTGCGAGTACGACTGTGGCGCTGGTATGCTGGCTTTGGGAAACGGTCTTGCCCTCTCTGCGTCTTAGCTTCACAGCAGCAACTGTAGGGACAGTTTGCTAACCACAATTTAGCTAACATTGTTCACTCCATTTCATATCATCATCATATTTGTCATGATATTGGATTTATCCAGACTCACACACCCCACTCTTTAACTGCAGAGAAGCTTATGTTCAGCATGGAAGAGGAGAGCTATCATCCACAGAAAATTAAGACAAAACGTGAACATAGGTGAGAACATCAAAATAGTTTTTGTTCAATCATTGATACAGCATATGTGACAGTGCACTACAAAGTGTAGCTCACTGAGTTATGTTTGAGATAGGCTTGCTTTTTATTGTTTTCTATGTATTAACCTTGTGCTGCTTACAATTTCTATCTGTTATCTCTACATAGGATGGCTGATAGGAGTATACGGTTTCATTCAAGTATCAAGTAGCCAAAAAGATTCCCAATTTGTGGGACATAAACTTGGAAGTACTGCTGAAGCCACCAACCCTCTGTGTGCCCCTGACAACAACAGAGTGGTATCAGTGGTACAGCATCAGCCTGACTTGTCAGTTAGTGAGTATATTCACTGTTCGTGTTACCTTGTACTCAAAGCAAGACACGCAGAGGTAAAGGAGATCCAGCAGGCGGTTGAGCTGAGACACTGACAGGTCTGTGAACCACTTCTGTAACACCAGCTCATCAGCATTCTTCAACACCCACAGCAGACAGATGAGCAGACTACGACTTGACTCGGCGGAGAAGCTACCGTGCTGACGACTCGCCTGGAAAGACGGACCAGGAGGAATCAACAGAGAGGAAAGAACACAGAAGGACAAAAAGAATACAAAAGAGGTATGACAAGAAACAATGCCCTCATTTTTGTTTAAGAACGATGTGCAGTAGTACGACTCCATTTACTGCAGATTGTCACAAACAGTGTACCTGCGAGTTGAGCAAGAAGCTGCTTGGTCGAGACATTGGGGAGGCGGTGGAGGTGCCTGCTATTGCCATGGCGACAGTCTGGCTGATCATGCTGTTACCCTCACCCTCTGCCTCTTCTCCGCTGCTACCCATCGCTGCCCCCTGGGGACCGCCTGGCCGACCCCACTGGTTATGGGACTCTAGTGACACAAAACGGAGAGAAAAGAAAATTAACAAATTAACTATAAATAGAGACAATACAGGAATGTGAAAATTTGGACACAAGAAAGTGAAAATGTTAAGTGTATGCAATTGATTTAATAGAGGTGGAACAAGCTGTTTGTGTACCCTCTCAACTCTGAATGACTGTTAAATGTAAACCTAATTGGAATGTTGTGAATGGGATTTGATTCAATTTTAGTAATAATTACTATTCAAAAAAGGTTACAACTAGATCTGGTCTCTCAAAATAAGCCAACTTTTATTCAGACCAAGCTTCATAAAATGAGCTTTACTGATTCTGAAACTACTGCTCAGCCCTTTATGAATGTGTCATTTCAAAACAAGTTCAAGGTCTAGGAAAGGCAGGTTCACAGGAGTGGAGAGTAAGAAATGAAATGTGAGAAATGTGCGAGCAGGATGAACTGAGATTAGAGATCAGCTGGTACATTGTACTTCAGCTGGTAAGTTATGTAACATCCTTTGGAGGTCAAATGATAACCTTTTGAGTTCCAATGGATGTGCTATTGATAAGAGTGCTGCTGAGTGGACAGTGGGAAGACAGCAGTTGGATATAACAACAGACACATTTTACTGTATGTTAAACTACTGTTATCTTTAAAGTAGTTCCTACTCTTTACCTGTAAAATCATGGAGCTGTGGTAGTGTTTCCATGACAATGCCAATTAGAGGCAAGTAAAGCATGGCAACTCGGGCCTTGACCTCAGGATCGGCGTAGCGTGGGTCAGAGTCATGGCTTGACAGGAGGTTATGAACGACACTCACCACTTTCTTATGTAGGCCAAACATCCTACAGTGAAACAGAAGAAAGAAAAAAAATTAAAAACAACAAACAAACCCCCAGAAAGGAACAAAGAAATACAGAGGCTCTAACCAGAAAACATAGCTTTCCTTTCTCTACAGTACTTTACTGGATAGACAAACATAAACTCAACCATCTTTTTAACTCTTCAATTCACCATCCCTCAAGACATAAACTCTTTCTGTGTAAAACAATCTTCATAATTATGAATCCAAAGCATGCTAACCCCTCATTTTCTGGGTCCAGTATTACGGACAGCTCAGATAGCACCAGTCCAGCCAGATAGTGTTGCTCTCTGAAGGGGACAGACAACTCAAACATGTTGGCTATCTTTTGGTCCTGGACATGTGTGGAGAACCCAGAGCTCTATGGGAGAGAAGAGAGAACAAAACAGAACGTCCACACAAGTAAGTCCAGTAATATTTTAGCTGATTACTTTGGCTTTTGTGATTTCTAGAGTATCTTTATGTTAAGGAGCAGTGAACACTTATAATCTGACAAGACAATTTACAGGTGTTCTCATTTAAAATTTCAAAGTTTGCAGAAATTTTAGAAATGCAAAAAAAAAAAAACCTGGCAGTGGGACCATGATCACTCGGAAAATCACTGTACAATTTATTTTGTTTTGTGTAAGACTATATCACAGGGGTCTTTTTGCTTGAAGGCGTTTCAATTTCACTACAGCACTTTATGTCTGACCTGTGAAGTTGCTGAAGAGACAGACGGGGAAGGCGAGGCAGGCGGGGTGAGCAGACTGCAGGGCAGATTGAGGGTTACGTAGTGTTCATGGCTACAAACGATTCTCAAGAAATCAAGCCTCAAAGACTCCAAGGTTGGGTTCTGCAAAGCGTAAATCTTTGTGGACACCTGGGGAGAGGTAATAGTACACATTAATGAATATTTTAAAGAAAAATACTTGTGTCATAGCCACACAAACAAAAAATAGGAGTACGTGCTTTCATGAAATATCATCACAAATTAATTCTTAATATATTGTTAGTGCTGTGAAGAAATCACAGAGAAGAAATCAAATGTGAAGAAAGAAAAAGACAATATCTGTCAGTAGCTTCCAACAAATACCCATAAAAAAGGAATATCTTAATTCATTTAGGGAAGTCATACAAACTAATTTGCATACTTCTATCTTACTATAGGTGTGTTACTCAGCTATCTAGGTCTGTTTTATCTTCACTCATACTTATCTTGCTAAAACTGTATTATTCTTTATCATGAAAAAAAAAAACAACAACACACAGAATAAATGTAGAACTTATTTTTGAATCTAAATAAGGCCTTTACCTGTTTCCAGTATGCCCTTATTAGGGTGAAGACAAAGCCTCGGTCCATGACTGACAGCAAATCGTTGAGGAAGAAAGCCAGACTAGTGTTTAGTCTCTCCACCAATTCTAGGTCCTGAATAAATGAGATATAAGGGACAAAGGGACAAAAAGGATCATATGTGACATTGCTTGCAGCCTCAAACTTGTGGTGCCACATTATTAAAGCCAAAAGCATTCACAAAGTATAAACAACATTAAACAGTACAATGTGTTTTAATATAACTTGAAAAGACTACTATGTGAAATTACTATATCCACTTACTTCCCTTGTAAGTCTTTGTGATATTCCACAAATGCATGCCCATTGGGACCCTGTAATACCATAGAAAACTTCACCAGGCCGTTACTTACCTTCTGGAAGCGAGACACAATGTCGCCAGCGATGGTGCTGACCAGGGCTGTAATGTCATCCATGAAGCGTTCTGGAAAACGGTTCTTCCTGGGTGACTCTAAGCGTTCAGTGAAGTACAAGTGGTGGATAATGCTCTTCACCTGTGGTTAATGTGTTAATTGGGATGAACACAAGATAAAAATGAAACGGCGCTGCACTGTGATGCCTGATGAGAACAATAACGGGCATATCTATCTAAGTCAAAATGTTTCTTACCATGAGTTCAAAGAAAAACCAGGCCTGTTGTAGTGCGCCCTCCCTGACGCTACCACTGCTTACCACCCACTGGAGTGCCAACTCCTCATGGAAGAGCTGAGAAGAACAGAAAAGTAGAAAAGAGACACAAAAGTGGAGAGGGAAGAACAGAGAGGGAGAGGCAATAAAGCCAGACAGAGAAAATGTGAGGCACCAGGAAAAGTATCACTGTCCATCTTAAACTTAAAACCTAAATAAAAATATACCTAGTTCTACATGTTAGAAACAAATTATTAAGTAGATGTTAAATATATTCCAAAGTGTTTTTACTTAATGGGGGATGTGACATGAAAGGAAATTTAAGTGGGTTTAGTTAACAATGATTAGCAACCCTAACATTCTCTATATGAAACAATAAGTCCAGTAGAGCTCCTGAAAATGAACTTGTTTAAAGACAAAGTACGGTTTAACGGAAAAATGTTATATATACACATATGTGACAGTAAGGGTTACCAACTCCAAACACTCTAAACAACTACATTAAACTCTCAACACCATGCAAATTATTCTATTTCAAAATGTAACTTCCCAATAATGATATAAATCGCTAAACTGTTGATGAAAATAATTGTATTTTCTTTTAATTCATTTCTTTTAAGTGTTACACGTCAATAACTTTAATTTATTTAGGTGTATGTGATGCACAACCAACATCCAACACAGTCTGGCTAACACACTGGCTCTTGTCCAGGGTCTGGCAAGTCTTTCTTACTTGTGTTGACATATTGTAAAGATTAGGAAGGGCGAGGATCTGTTGATCATCATCTATTAATTACTGTAGTGCAGTAATAACGACACATTTCATTAATCTTTTTGCTGTTGAAAGCTCTGGGGGAAAAGGCTAGTAAAGGAAACTACTTCTTTAATATTAACTTTACAGCAGATTGTATCCTGTTGGTATCCTAACTAACCACATGTTTGTATTTCTTGTACAGTATCATTTGTAGGGTCAGAGTAAACTGATTAGAAGGCAAACTGTGTTGCACTTTCTCAAATAAAAATCAAACACATGCACTCAATGCCTGAGTGAATAGTACACACTGAACGGATGCTTCCCAGACTTAACTTAGCCAGTGTTAGCCAGACTACTACCAACATTCATGTCACATCAAAAAATCCTTGACACATTCAGAACAATAGGCAGATCGGTGACATTCAGCATTCAACAAGACTCCACAACCACCAAATACAACATCAACCAATCCAGAAGCACACATCCACAGACAAGACAGGTGAGGAGGCGAATAAAGAGGTGGGCGGGTTGGCTCCTCCCCCAGTGCAAGTGGCTCTACCTTTTTTGTGGGCAACCGTCCTGTTAAAGTTTGCAAGAAACTGGCGCTCTCAGTGTGCGAAGACATGCGATTGCCACAGCGCTCCATGGCCTATGGTGGAATGAATGGAACGGTGACAACAAGGTTAGTGGAGGAGCAACGGGAACGTGGGGTTGCACCGTCTGCACACCGGAAAAATGAGTCTGCTGAGTCACACATACCCACACACACATGCACACTATATACTTTTGTGATCTGTTGCACAGACTTGTCACACATGAAGACACAAAACAAATAAGACAAGACATGGACATAACACTTAATCTAAACCCATAATCTAAAACAGTCAGATACATTGGTAGTTGAGTGCCTTTAAAAAAGGGATGCAAAATGGATGCATGAAGGGCCATGATATCATGTTAAGACATCATTAAGCAATGGCTGTAACATCAAGGAAAAGAAAACCATAATGATGTGCCATTACACTACATCCGTCCAGGTGAATACAATACTTCAGAGTACACAGTATTAAACGTATTATTATTGGTAAGTAAAGTAACATAATGTTCCATCTCAGATAAAATGCTAATTATGAATGTGCTCTGTCAATGTTGGCACAATTCATTTAAGATTGTAATTTAGACATGATTTTATTATTACAATACGCAGAATTAATTGTATCTTGGTTTTTTGAGCTTTATAGTATTAGAGAGAGACAAACATAGGCTTATGTCATGACAACTTAAAATGACAGATGACATAACGTCACATGAAGATGGAAAGTGAAGCTGATAAAGACCTCACACATGTAGACAAACACCCACTCACACTCACAGATATACCATGCTCCAGTGATAAAGTGAATGCTATGTAGGGTTAGTATTCATGCAGGGATACTAGCTGAGTGTGAATAACTGTTAGAAGCAGAGAGGAGAATTAATAGATGAAATACAATGAATGTCTTAAATATCTACTCTGCTGATGAAGATGATTTCTAACACTACTCCTTTTCTCTACTATTCCAACAATCCTCTGTCTGAAATATACAGACACACAAAAAGATCACAGTATGCATCGGTTTTGGGTTAAGCAATAACCGACCACTGTAAACCCAAAATGGCAGGCAAGCTTGACATAGAAAGAAAGGGAGGCCTACTGTCTCCAAGAAATTGCTGCCATAAATAAATCTAGTCAACTGACACTGAAATATTTGGATTTACACTGTGTCTTTTCATGCTAGTACTGAGAAAAAGGAAGGTGTTAGATGTGATAAGTAAAGAGGGATGACACCTGAGACTCTAGCATGAGAGATATAGGGTCATGGAGGCGGCTGTGACTCCCATGTGTGGGATCATGGGTGGGTTGTGATTTAAAGTTTACCAGAATACTGTAATATTCTGAAGTTTTGGTATTTAGTGTATTTGTGTTACACTACTCACATTTTATATGGTTTAGAAATATCTCTAGTTTGGAGAAACTTGGCAAAAATGCACTTACAGTAATGTGACTTAAAACCTCCAGAAATAGCTTCACAATAAATGAAAGATGTGATCATGACATAAAATTGCAAATCTTAAAATACTCTTTGGGGAGGAAATTAATTGCCCCAACTCATACCTGTCTTTCAGTAACTCTGGCAAAGTACACAAATAAACCAAAACTCTCAATATCCCAGTATCCCTTCAAGGTGAATAGGGTGAATTGTTTTTGCAGTGAGGCAAAGTGGAGGACGGGGCATTCATAAAACCACCTGCATGGTTTCTGGAGCGGACCCAGGGCTGGATCCCCAGGGGGCACTCTTACAGCCCATGGTGTGCACCCACGAGTTGGAGCGGTCTAAGCCCTAGGCGTGCCAAGGTCAAAGGACACATGGCGTGCAGGAAGCAAGGGAATGAGCGAGCAGCACGGGGGAAGGAGGAGGGAAGGAATAATGACAAGTTAAAGAGGTTTAGAGGTCAGGACTGCTGGAAGATACCAAGGGACCAAAAAAGGTTAGCTGTAAGTGAATTATAAATCCAAATTATCACCACAGAGGACCAAAGCACAGAGGTTTCTCCCCCCCTTTCTCTCTCTGTGAAAGAAATAACTTCCCCTCCCACAGATACAAGAGAAGGAAGGTTTAGTTAAGTATTAGCAGCAAAGGGAACATTCATCAAATTGAGGGTTGCATTCACTCACTACTCAGGTACTTTTGGGTTAAACAAAACGTGTCTGAAGTGGGAAATCACAAATTATACAAGACAAAATACATGCCAGACAAATAAATTAAATAAAATTTAAAAAAACAAAGAAAACCAGTAGAGATTGAGCTATTCTTAATGTCTTCAAAATATATATGACTATATCTATTGTTTCTTCTTGACAGCGTGTGCTTTCTGATTTGACTGTAAACTAAATGTCTCTAATATCTTTCATAATCTTCAGAACCTGTGTGTCTGTGGGTGTGTGTCTGAGGTTGCTGTTACAGCGGTTAGAGAGATAAGATGTCCAATCTTATGTTTACGGAATGGCTATACAGTTTACATGCTGATAAAATAGTCTCTGGGTCATTGTGCACATGGAAGGTATCTGCCTTGGTGTGGGTTAAGAACTAAAGATTCACGTTGAATGAGCGTGTCTAAAATACATAAGCTGCTGGACTACAGCAATGTTAAATCTTGAACTCTGACTCCCACATGCAGTGTGGACAAGACAAATATTGCAATAGGGTTAAGAGCACAAAAAACATTGTTATCATCTATCCCTGCTGGTTCAGTCCCTATTAGGACCACATGTAGAAGTTTAACCACCCCTTTTATGCCTTCAACTCTAAAAGCACTGAGAATAAATAAGTTATAGGCTCATGTATAACCAAAGACATTGTATGATGACCCTACCTTGCTGCCAATAATGGAGCGGACCTCATCGTCAGGAGAGGTGGGTGTACCGGAGATGTCAGGGTTACTGTTGCTAAGGCTACGGGAACGGTTGAGGTTGAGGCTGGCTGGTCGAACAGCTGAGCGAGCCATGGTGGCATAGTGAACAGAACCTCCCAACCCTCCCGGGCCTGGTACAATACACAGAGAAAGAAAAATTGCCCAATTGGGATGTGATGAGAATAACTACTTCTACCAAGCCATTGTAGGTCCACTGACTTGATGGTTACATGTTATCTCTGCTCCCAATGCCCATATTTAAATTTGTACCAACCCTGCCTCTTATCAAAAAGCCAATGTACCATCCCCCCATCTTGCATGTGGTGAACACACAGTAGGTAGTTGATAAACGTATTTATTCATAAATGATTAGCAACCAATGTGTCTTGGCAGTTAATGATTTACTAGCTAATAGTGAACAATGGCAAGTAATGCTATACCAAAATGTTATATTACTTAAAGAACTGAATGTAACTGAGATTTTAGAGGGAAGAATAATTGCACACAGATTAAGATATACAGTGGTGGGCCATATCTACCTGTTAAGGATGAGTTGGAGTCTGTGGTGAGCAAGCAGAAGACAAAATGGATGTGGGAGGAAAAAAGCATAAATACAAAAAGAAATAGAAGAAGAAAAATTATGGCAGGTAGGTTTGATAAAAGACACCCAGTGAAGGTGAGTTGGGGGTTTGATGAAGTGAACTTAAAAGGAGAAAACAGAAAAACAGATATAGAATAAAGAAAAATGTGAGGTGATTAACTGTATTGACAGCAAAATACCTGGGGAGGGTGAGTTGGGATCAGTGCTGGGCAAGCGGAAGACGTAGTGGATGTAAGAGGACAGCAGGCCGTTGCGGCCATGCATGTCCTGGCTCGTGTCCAGGTACTTATGAAGCCGGTTCACTATAGATGCCATGACCTCAAAGGATGCCTGGCCCAGATTCACTAAACACACAGAGAGACAGAGAGGTAAAGACAGAAGAAAAATGACACATGCAAAAACTCACCATGGCCACGAGCAGTGCATATACACACAAAGTAACAGTGTGTGTGTGTACAGGATGACTCACACAAAACAAGACATCCAAAAAGATGATCACACAACAAGACATTTCTTAGCATAAATATTTAGACCCTTTCTAGGTCTCCCAAATATTGTTTAAGTGTAATGATTCAGATGGCTGTTTATATCAAGAAAGGTTTTTAGAGTAACTATGTCCTCTGCATAATCATAATAAAACTTGTCAGCAAGACCAAGCCCCAGAATGTACAAAAAGACTCCCAGGACATATTTTACTGAAACTTCTGTTACATAATACATATTGACATATTCCATTTTATAGCTTGGAATGGATGCAGATTCAGTGGTGACAAATCTGAGCTTGACACAACAGCCCAAATGACATCCCTGTTGCTATGATCAAATTCAGGAGCTCTTTTAACCTTAATTTATTCATCATCTCTGTAAACTAAAGACAATTTAAATCTACAGCTTAAAGTGGCACAATTGACACCTAACTCTTCTTGGTAGATTTACCATCACCTGCAAGCTGTTCTAAAACCAACCTGTGATCCCTGGCTATTTAGTTAAGTATAATACACCATCATACCTATCTGCCCAGCAATGACTGGTGGCCGCACAACAAGCAACACCAACTTGTCGAGTAGAAGGTGAAGGAATCGGACCACTGGCTCCAGCTGGGAAGAGTTGAGCGCCGCAATGCTGGACTTGAGCTCGGCCTCCAGGTTGTTCTCCATGATGCGCATGTCTCCTATCCTAACTGGGAACATGTGCTCATCCAGGGCGTGTACCAAGGCAAAGAACTTATCCAGGTACTGGTCCTGGAGTAAGAGAGTGGTAGAGGTGGAGGTGCAAAAGAAGGGAGAAAGTGAGAAATTTGTTGGCAAAAGACATGCATGACAATGCAGCTAAGGGGATACAGAAATACATGGAAAGCAAAAGAACAAAAGGGAGAGATGATAAAGATGGATGGAGTGAAAAGAGCGCAAAAGAAGTGACCAAGCTTAGAGGGTAAAAACATAACAGTATTACAGGTAAAGAAAGGTGTAGGAGAAAAGGGGGGAAGGGAATCGCAAAAACAAAAGTAATGCTTGGATCTACTGGCCTATAAGTTGGCTCACCAAGTGGAAACCACAAAACGAACGTTACTACAAGAACAAAGTAGAATCCAGCAAGTCTAATCTGCGCCAGGAGCAGTGATTTATGAGCACATTAGTCCCAGTTAGGCTCCTAGGGACCACAGTCAAGCCCTCCAAACCCCAGCCGACACAGAGATGGAGTAGACCCCAGTAAATTACTGGCAAGGAGAGTTTCACCCACTAATGAACTGGTGCTGGGAAGGAATTACTGTCTAAATGTGAAAACACTGTTTTCTCTACTTTAATTGAAATTTAAAATGATAACCTGTGTGTGATGCTTATGAAAATGATTCCATGGCAAATTATAATTCAATAAAATTATGAAATACAGTAAAGAAGATGAGAGGTGAAGGTTTATACCCAAATCCTCCAAAACACCGTTAGTAAAACTACTGTATACAGTACTGTTACCTGTGTGTGGATGGTTGAAACAGTCACCACTTCCACATTAAATACTCCTCGATGGTTGTCCACCCACTTCATTCCTGGGAGAGGAACCTGAAGTACAATAATACTTGAGTCTGTGCTGTAGTGACAAACATTTTATAAGCAGTGAAAATGAATGACTACTGTGCAATGGTTACTGTGCATGGAAAGCTGACATTCTAATTAAATTCAAATTAAAAGGGTTTAAAGGGTCTTCAGAAGCCTTTCCATCAAACCCAAATGTTGAACAAAGAGGTTAGTAAGTGTTCACTATGTAAAAAAAATATTATATACTACAAAGGATCGTATGACTGCAAACTTTTAAATACATCCTTACTAAATTCTTTTCATACTTTAATAAATTCATACTTTAAAAACACTTGCATTCTTAAAAAAAAAAGAAAAGTATGTCTTACATCTGGTGAGAGAACAGAGTAGGATTGTGGAGGCTTTTCCAGAGACACGGGCAGACAGAAGTGTCCAGTCCGCAGACGCCCATTCTGCTGCATGGGGATCCACTACAGAGAGAGGGAGACAACAAACGAGGTTAATATTATTTTTTCATTTCATTCTAAATTCATTGTGGTCTTTTTAAGGCTTCAAATGTGCACTTGCACATTTTTCTAAAATGACAAAAAATGCCCCTAATGTGTGTGTAATATACTTGTGAATGAGGATGTCCAAGTTTACACACATGCCTACATGAACATAACAGCTGTAACCACAATAACAGCCTATGTGATTATTGTAGCTGTACCAGTGACTGTTGCCTACCGTGTATCCCACAGGGGTCTCCAGTGGTGTGTTCTGCTTCTGCTGGCAGCTGACGTGGTAAAAGGTAAAGAGAATGTGGTGGTGGTCCGACAGGGATGCAGGCAGCTTGATCTTGATTTCATCATGAAAGTCAGGAGATCTGTTCATAGCAATAAGTAACATTAATATAAACTATTTAACAGTGTTACAAGCTGATTTATATCCAAAAACCTGATTAGGAAAGACAACAAACTAAAATAGATTATTTTTCAAACTATGTAGATTCAGACTGCCATCTAAATGGCACTGAATTCAAACCTTATAATTCTAATTATATCCACACTGACTATGGATCTCCTATTGCCTGAACACACTATCTAACCAAAACAATGTCTCCATTTAGACACTGCTTCTTCTATTGGGTAGGTAACGGTTCAAATGTTACCCATTAAAAGTTTCTCTTGCATCAAGGCTATGAAGGTGAAACTGATTTTCTCTACTGATTTCCTGCTCTGTGGTAAATGCCTCGCCAATTATGATGTGCACCCCGTAGAACAAGTTTTTGAATGGGGAACAACTCAGTCATAAACATCCTCCCATTGCTTTCCCAGGACTTTTATACGACTCATTCTGGAATCTATCTAGAGTGGTTTGCTCCTTGCTTTACGATTCAGGCTACACAGGCTTACATACTTGCTGAAGACTTGCATATTTGTACATTTCCAGCAACTTTATATATTGGGAACTTTTGTCTCAAGTGGAAGTCTGGTCATCTAAAAAGACAGAAGTTACATAACACATCATAATTCACTTCAGCTGAATTCTTTATAGTCCCTCCGGAGGAAACTTTGTCTGCAGGCCAATGCTCAGAAACAAACAATGCCCAAATACAACAGGCCCATGAACAAACCCACTAGGACAGCCTTAAAGCTGGAAATGACCAAAACTGCTTAAAAAGGTCACAAAAGGGCCCTAATTTCTCATGGGAACAAACATTTTGGTTATGGAACAGAAAAAGGAACAGGAGCAATAAGAAAAGATAATGGGTTATTAGCTAAGCACATAACATCAAAGCCAAGAGTATATACAAGTATAAAGATAGAAATTTTGAGATTACAAAACACCTCTATAATAAAGACAGCAATCTCTGTGAATGTGTGTATGTGTTTGTATTTCTATTATGTCGGAATGATGTTGCTGTGGACCCAAAAGAGTGCCGTGTTTCATGTGGTGCAATATGGATGTCCGACACATTCAGAATTAATAAACTTTGAAAACCTACAGTACAGCACGAGCCGTTCCACTCTGCAACAGCAAGGAAGGGGTACGCTTGCGGGATGGGGGTCAAATGTTCTGTCATCACGCAGGTTTGATATGTTAAAAACGAATGTGTTGAAACAGAGTTTTAAGAGTTTTATGAAGTTCTAAGGAAGTGCTGAACGTCTATCAGAATCTCCACCATTGTCGTGTTGTTTCAGTGTTATTAATGCTGTGTCTTCAATGCTGTAGGTGAAGCCAATGTGATCTAAAAAGCGCAGGGTGGCGTCATATTGACACCTGTCCACTGCAATAGTTTCTTAAAAAGATGTGTTTTCTTTTTCTTTTTCATTCAGTGTTCATATGTCCTTTTAAGAGTTTTGACAAGAGAAATATTGTGCTAGAGTTAAATGCAGACTTTAATTGACCATTATAACCACTTCTAAGGGCTGGATTAAGTCCTGATGCATGATTGCCCTTGTTACAGTAGTACATTATTCATAAGTTGATTCATTTTAGCCTTGAAGGTGTGATCCCTGGGTGACAAATCTAGACGTCATTAAAAAAATAAAAAATAACAACAACTAATAGTGGTGACAAAATACCCCTTAGCTCTGAGATGGAAGAAACTTGTGCCAAAGACACCATGTGACAATAATCAGAAGGTTGATTAAGCAGATTCTTTGAGGAGCTGTTATGGTGATGAATTATAAGGATATTTGTGAATTTAATTTTCACTCAACCAATCTCATGACAATCATGGAGACCATGAGTACAAGGCTAAGTATGTCAATTATTTTCAGATCTAGCATTCAACATAGCATAAACAAAATATGCCAAAATACAAAGAACTTACCTGTTATGGTACACCACAGCAGTATAGGCTTCTTTAGCAAAATCTGCACAGCTGGACTTCCCAAATATCACCTGGATGATAAAACATTTTTTTTTGTTTTCAGATGAAACCACGTTTTTACCCAGAGCATATATGGCCGCATGGACCCAGCTGCAGAATAATGCAGTGGTATTACAGTGCACAGCTTTGCCATATAACCACAGCTTTACCAAATGCCAATACATTGGACCAGTGTTTTCACTTTACCATCATGGTAAAAGTCATTGTTTGTCAACATAACAGCATATAACACTAAGATGGCTGACTGGACTAAGATAAATTAAAACAACAAGAATTGTTTTCTTTTATCTTATCATGGCATACCGGCATTGCATTGTTTGGGTCCTCTCCATTCATAAATTGCACTTTGACTGTGATGTTGCGGGCAGAGCCTTGGCGGTTGGCAAAGTTAAGACTCTGAGGGTTTACATACAGCAGATTCCTAAAAGACAGACATGGACACAGAGACACAGAGACAACAAGGTGCATCATAAATGATGTCAATGAAGTAACTGCGTCTAAGAAATATGAATATAAATCTATTTATAAAACTATACTATAATGAGTAACATACACACAAAAAACGATAAATATTACAGTAACATATTAAGTATAAAAGCATGACATTATTTTTTATAGTATGTAAAATATATTAAAGTAGCAATATTTTTCCTGCTCTATCAAAAATAATCATTTACACTCCAAAGCATGGGGGATTTAAGTGATAAATATATTCCAATTAGCAGCAATATTAGTTGTGCAGAAACATAAATGATGTATTAGTATCATATACATCCATGTTTTTACTTTCCCTTGCTTTGCAATTTTAGATAAAAGGATGAGTAACAGCATGTAGCTTTAAAATACTTGATCATAAACTCTCATATGTATTCAGAGTTAAATGGCTTTTATCTATTACTATTTAGGAAATAAACAGGTGAGTTTTATGTCCATACTGCATAGTGACTTATCAAATATATCAGAAAGTACAAGATAATCTTAATAACAATGTCCTCCTCCCTTCACTATATGAAACTAAAACCATGACCTCTTTTTCTGATATCTAAACAAACTGTCTTTGAAAGTGTGTTTACTAGTTACCTCACATTGCTCTACCAGATTCCACAAACTGATCAATTTAAGAGGGCATGGTGGGTACACCATCCTCTAACTGATTTAGGAGGCTTGGACGGTCAGTTACCATGGGAGGATGAACCCAAAAATCATCAACTACATTTTTCAGAAAAGTGGAAGGACAGGTAGTAGGTAGGAGGACAGTAGTGATTAGAGTTTGACTCTCTGTAGATGACTATTAACTGTCTAAAAAGATAGCAGGTCATTTAAGAGGTGCAATCACTGATTGTTAGCCCCCTCAATCATACAGTGGTAAAATTAAAGTAAATAATTTTGCATGATCAAACCCTTTTTTTTTTTTTATTACAGGATAAACCTCTCTATAAAAATGTAGCACAAACTTGACAGATCTGGAGGATGAGTGAAGGTCATCAAGAGAGTAAATAATTCAGATTACATTACACAACAGCGGACTTTCTCCTGGCATAAAATATATGGTGGGCCTTAGTAGATTCTGCCTCAAAGCTCGACTGTTACAACATATTAACTTGTCGTAATAAATTGTTAAAAATGGATCTTTGAATAAAATACGAAAAGTGGTTGGGGAAGTTTACAATCCTGATCATTATTGTCAGCAAAAAGTAATGGTACTGTACTGTCAAAAACATTGGTTACTACACTGTTCGGAAGGGAGACAAGCTCCCACATTAGGAAGTGCGAAGTAACCTGGGATCAGCTGACAAACCACAATGACGTAGTCAATTCTGTGGGGGATGGCCCCATAGAGACCACAGCTGGAACCACAACTGACAAAGAAGCGTGGGAATCTCTGGTCTGATTATTCAAATTTGACTCATTCCCTTTTTGTGTTACCCTTCATCTAGCATATAGCTTTACAGTGAGCCTTTGAATTTGAGTAGAAATAGAACCCAAGATACGTTTACTGTGGCAAATACCCAAATAAGCACAACTGGCGGTATCACTGATTGGTCAATTGTTCTTATCAGATTAAAGTTTGGTAAATCAATATTGCAAAAGCAAACTTTGCATTGCAAACTCTACAAGTCTCCCAATATACTCCCAACTGTCAGACAGCCACACACCTTCTGCATTTTAAGCCCAGAGGCAACACAAGGGGACACAATCATTGTTTACTGACTCGAAACATAGATGGTGACAAAGTCATTCTCTAGTAGGGCTGAACGATTAATGGTTTTTAAATCGAAATGGTGATTTGAAAGAATGCGATTAGCTAATCGTGATGAAGGTGATTAAAATGTAGGTTAATTATACAGCGCATCTGACCCTGTTAAACAGTCGTGCAGTTACAAATTCATTCCGTTGTCATGCTTGTGTGACAGATCTGCTCGCCAATCACAAGCGCCATGCGCCTCCTGTTACAGTCCTACTCACAGATCAGAGCTGGCACAGGACGTGTACATTTTACAACAACAAAAGAAACTAGAGGAAAATGTGGGATAATGGCACTAGCCGAACCAGCACAGGCAGCAGAGTTGTCCGCCCGGCCTCGTGTCACACTTAAGTGAAACAGCTGAGCGTTTAGCCTGCCCTACGTTGTTGACGTGTTGTTAATTTGTCATTTTGTGTGCTTCAACTACAGACAACAGCTCTCTGTGAGCCCATTTCGCTCTCTGCAGGCGAACGTTACATATCCACATGGAGCATTTCAGAATAAGAGCGTTTTGCCTGTCTGATTTTCCTGACTTGTTCAGATTATTGCTTATTTGTTCAGTTGTCCTTGTTTTTTTGTGCTTCTACCATGGTTAAGTAGCTACGTAGTTAAATGTTTATTTTTTGCCTGTTTTAACTGTGTCTATTGTTGATGTATGATTGGGAATCTGCAAATGGTGTTTTATTTTGAATATTGACTGGATTCTCTATGCCGTTCTGCGTCAGACTTCCTGCCTGGTTCATCTGCTCTGTGCTGCTTCATGTGGCTTACATCAAAAATGAATGTGGCAGTCAATATTGAACTTTAGCAAAAAAAAAAATTTAAAAAAAAACATAATCGCAATATCTGTCAGAAAAATCGCAATTAGATTTTTTCCCCAAATCATTCAGCCCTTTTCTCTAGTAATTCAAAGTGTGTAGAGAAGGAATGGTAAATAAAAAGCAAGTCTATTTTTGCACATATTCCTATAAATAAATATATTAAATAAAGTAAGAATTTTGAATTTGAGTTTAAGAACTTAAAACCAAACTGTGAGATGCACTTATGTTTAAATTCAATATAATTTAATCTTATCTTTGGTTAACGCAGCCCTAGTCTTATTCCTACAGTACAAAGGTCTGCGAAAAGATACAGCAAAATGGAAAAATAAAAACTAGAATCAAATTAGAATGCCCAAAGTTAACCTCCACAAAACAAATATGGCTAGTTTACTTCTCTTTATTTACTCTGGCTGCTGAGGTGGTACAGTGCCAGTTTGTAATTTAACAAGTGATATTCCACTGCAAATTTGAACTTCGGCAGGAATATGTTTTCAGGGGTGCTGAAGCACACCTAAATTTCATCTCAGCAACCCTAAGAAAATAGTGATGGGGGTTATAGAGTTACAGCAAGGTTGAATAAAGATTCAGAAAGTCTCTGGTTATAGTTCCACAGTGTGAATAGTTACTAGCTAGACTGCTCAGAGATAATTGGCTAATTAGCTCTCTGAGCTAGTCTGCTTGCACTGCACACTTGCCAGCTAACGAGAACTGATGTACTATATTATTGTAGTAAAATAGTCACAGTGTTCTGAAAGAATTGGGTCTTATGGTATATTTATAGTACATTTGAATTGAAGCACTGGAAACATACTCTTTCCTTCCCTGTGTTGTTCTGTTTAAAGGTCCCATATTATGCTAATTCTCAGGTTCAAACTTTTATTTTGGGTGTCTACTAAAAAATCTTTACATGCTTTAAAGTGGTCATATTATGCTCATTTTCAGGTTCATAATTTTATTTAGGGGGTTGTACCAAAACAGGTTTACATGGTTTCATTTTCAAAAAACACCTTATTTTTTGTCATACTACACATTGCTGCAGCTCCTCTTTTGACCCTGTGTGTTGAATGCTCCATTTCAGCTATGTAGTGATGCATCTCACTTCTACAAGATCTCTGTTGGGAGTTGCAAATGTGCAGTACCCAGTTAAGGACTACTAACTAGCCAATCAGAAGCAGAGTAGGGTGGGCCCTGAAAAGCTGGTAAACAGCTTAGCAACATACAGTGGAGTAAGAGTTTCAGAGAGGTGAGTTATTAATCTGTAACAAAAGTATCTTTCATCCATAAAGTTTTAAATGTGCACTGTCTCTACATCACAGTAACAACTTTATGTCCATTGACTGACTGGAGGGTAGCTAATGTTTGGAAGGGAGAGGAGAGGCAGCAGACGGACGTCTTGTTTTTCCACTGGTGTTTTTTTGATCACAGCAAAGCAGAAGAAAAGGCTGGACTACAAAAAAGCTGTTTTTAGGCAGTTCAGAGCAGTGTTTTCTGTGTGAGATGGGAACTCCCTTTGGGGTGGACTTGCACAAAAAAGACTCAATATATAACTCAATAAAGGAGAGGGAAAAGCCAAAAAGCATTGAAGATAAGCATTTTTCTCATCCTGTCCATTGCTTCAGCTCCTATCTTCACCCTCTGTCTGAACCATAGATTGTATAAAAGAAGTGGACATAGTCAACGTGACATCACCATCCTGGTCTTTTGGGACCAGACACTGGACATGCAGCTGGGCAGTACGGCCAAAAATGTTATCACAATACAAAATTTAAAATCATTCGATATCGATAATTACCACGATAAATGTCAAATCATTATTTCTATTAAGTTTAAAGGCTGATTTTTGCTCTTAAGTGAAAGTTGACTATTATTTCAGAACATGACAAACAATTGCCAAAAAGTGACTCACTTAACAAATCTGAAGTAGAACATTCAAAACAATTATAATAAAATCTTTTTTTAGCAAATATCTTATTAGAAAAATATAATTATTCAAATTAATTCAATCAAACATTTATTGAACATTTGTTATATTGTTTTTGAGGAAAATTATATTGTGATAACCATCATTGTTTTAATGCCCAGCCCTAACTGGATGTGAACATATTTGGACAACAGGGTTGCGCTAGCTAGCTTGGTTAGCAAGTTGCATCTGTAATTCACGCTAAGTGTGATATTAACCGGGATGCTCATTTTGGCTAGCGAAAAACAGGAAAAAATTAACAGCCTACACCTTATAAGCTCATTCAATGGAGGTATAAAATAGTTTACCACACCATATGTTAGCCCCTTTAGTAACAAAGCTATTGACAACCCACTGTGAGCTCTGGCTAAAGAGTTACGGCCCATTTAATCGTAACATAGCATTGTGTTCAAAGAGACAATGCTGGCAAAGTTTTAAAAAAGTGCTGTTAGCCAGCATTTAGCCAGTGTTTGATGCACATACCGCTGAACTTTCATTCATTGTTTTGACCCCGGCTTCCTATTCATTCTTATAACAATTCTACATTTAATTTATTGAAGGATCTGCTACAGCAGCACAGCAATGTGAAACTTACAGAAAGAAACTCCGGATGCTACTGCCACTCATGCTTGGACTCATCGGGAAAGAGTGGCGTTAAGCAATGTCACATTTTCTAAAAATACTGAATATTGCTCTTATAAATACATGTACAGAAAAACAGTAATTCAAAAGTCGGTATTTATTTGCTTTATTTTTTCATTTCAGCCGATGGTGTAGAGAAACATATGTTTTGTAAATACCGTACTCCTTGCTGCTGTTATGAATGTGATATTAGTTCAAAAGTCGGGAGAGACTGCTCTGTTTGGGGGGGAGAGGGGTGGTATTGAAAGTAGTAACGAAACGAGTAACTTAACTAGTTACTTTTATCACCTAGTAATAAATTAAGTAATATTACTTTTTTAAGGAGTAATAAGTAACTAGTAACTTATTAGAATTTCTGAGTAACTTGCCCAACACTGATCAAATTATATGAAATTTTTTAGCTGCATACAATTTGCTTTTGTGTGTCAGTGCAAAGAGGAAGGGGGAAGGATGGAGAGAAAGAGGACAAAGAGAGAGTGAGAGCAAGAAAGAACCAGGTGAGAAAGTAGAGTCAAGATTGATATACAGTACGTCACATTCTCATTAGGGGTCTGATACTAGAATCACCCCTGGTTCAAACCCTTAACCCTCTTGCTTTTAAACCAAAGCACTAACCACTGTGCTGGCATGAAGGATACTGAATATCATTACCAGATTTATGTTGCTGATCAAGCAAATTCCTGGAACACTCACTCAAACTGTGGCCAGACTGTTCTTTTCCATAGAACCTTTTCTTTCTGCTCTGTGCATATGAAAAAAGTAGAGGTCCATTACTGAGAACTGAGGTAATCCATCCCTATAACCACAAATTACTAGAGAAAGCTCATTAAGATGACTGCGTGGTATTTTAAGGTGCACTGTAACAGCCAGAGTGCTGAAATGTTTCCATTTTAAACCCAAGCTAATGAGAGGAAATGGGCCAAATATCCCAGGATTTTCTGCTATGTGATAATGTAAGTTCTCATAATAATGTAGGAATATTTTCATTTGCCACACAAAGTGACTTTAAAAACAATAATTTATAGTATAGCTCCATAAAAGTTGTAAACAGGACATTTTCAAAGTTTACATGCCTGTATGTACTAGAACCAATTTTAAGCTTTGATTAGCCAAAACATACAATGACTGCATGACATGGCAATCATTCTGTAAGGCCTTTTTCTCACCACATTTACGGGACACGCTTACTTTAGAGGTTGGGAACCACATAGCATGGAGTGCCAAAGTATAAATATTTATATTACAATTAAGTAGTACACCAAGACATTTCACTGATTAGTTCCAACTCCACATATTTCACCAACATTCAGTCTGCGTGAAACAACTTACTAAGAATTCCCCATAAAGATTGTCTTTTACGATAGGCCAGGAATGATCCTTTAAAAGCTGCAAGCTAAATCAGTAAACTATACTCCCCATTTTATGTCAGGTGGCATTGACAAATATCACGTAATGCATGACAAACTTGAAAGAAAATGACAAGGCTGAGCAATAAACCCCAGATGATGAGTACACACTGTCCAAACTCTCCAACATCACTCATGCCCAGAAGCTCAACCCTGGCACAAATGACAGACTCACACCCCTCCCAACGCAAAGAGAGAAGGAGGAGGGAGAGATGCTGGTGCTTGGCTGATTCAGCAGGATGCTAAATCAAACCCAAGAGCATTAATTACACACAGCATTATCAATCAGAGCAAAGTGTGTGCAGGGTTATAAGGTTTGAGATTGATCAGACTGACGATCCATCAAAAACCTGTGATGGCTATTGTTGGCTTTCTGCTGATCAGCCAAAGCTCTGCACCACAGATGGAGAACAGGGTAGGGTGTGGTATAGAGAGGGGATTGGGGTTAAATGGGTAGTAGAGAAGGGGGGATGTATATGTCATTTGCTCACTGCTGTGATTTGTTTGTTCAGGAGAGGGAGGGCTCGAGGGGGATTTGGGAGGAGGTAGGGTACAGAGCTAAAACATAGTAGGGTTTAATGATCAACTAATCCCCCCTCCTCTACTGAGAGGGCTGTATATAATACAGGGCAGCCTGCTGCTCTCACATCATTTAAACAGCAAGGAAGTCTAGGTTATAGGCAGAGGGAGAGAAAGGAGTGTCGCGAAGAGCACAAGCTAGAGGAAAGCAAGAGCAGCGAAGCACTGGGTTAGAAATTATTCCACAATCCAGGATTGGACCAGAAAGTCATGATGAAGCTGTTTTGCCTGTCGCTGCTGCTAGCTAGTTCCACTGCTGCTGTCCCTCTGGAATCCTCGGGTAGAGAAGTGTCCCCCACATTGCCCTCCCAGGCCATTACCCCAGTGCCAAGCCCAACTGAGGCAAAGTCTCGCTTTGCCATGCTGGATGATGTTCGTCTACTTGCAAACGGCCTCCTTCAGCTAGGCCAGAGTTTACGGGAGTTTGTCCACAAGACCAAGGCCCAAATCAACGACATCTTACAGAAGTTGAACATTTTCGATCGCTCTTTTTACCAGCTTTCAGTTGTCACGTCAGAGATCAAGGAGGAAGAGGAGGAGCTGAAGAAGACCACCAATTTTTTGAAGACCAACAACGAGGAGATCAAGAACCTGTCGCTGGAAATCAACTCTAAAATCAACAACATCCTGCATGAACGTACACAGCTGCAGAGCAAGGTGGGGAGTCTTGAGGAGAGGCTGAAGGGACTGTCAGAGAGCATGGTCCCTGTTGACCAACTTAGTGAAATCACAACGCTCAAGGTAAGCAGCTACTACGTGCTACAGCAATTCTACTGAGTTCCTTATTTAAGTGTGCATCAGTTAGTGGATGATATGTGCATATCAAAAGAAGAAAAACCTATTTAACAATGGAAATGCATTTAATGAACTCTACTGACCATGATCTATTGCTCATTACAGTAATAATTATTGACAAACAATGATAAACAATGTGTCATTAACTATCTTTTTCATTATTGTTTCTCCACTCCAGTTATACGTTTCAAAATACAGTATGTGGGAAATATGGGCTAGAATTGTGCAAATGTATACTTGCCGAAAAGAAATCAACTTAATCCATTACAAAACCTTTTTTGTGTACTGTTGTTCGGCATGACTAGTAGTGTCTCACTTTACATTTTGTTACTGAAAAAAAATTTAATTCTACTAATTAAAGAAAAGAAATAACTTAACAGCTGCTCTTACAAACATTGCAAAATACAATGTATAGGTATAAAGGAGAAATAATGTTTTACTATGGCATTTTCAGGAAGTGATTGAAGCTCAAGAGAAAACAATCACCAGTCTGCTAAAAGCTGTGACTGAGCAACATGATCAGCTTGACCACCAGAAAATCAAGATTAAAAACCTGGAGGAAAAGGTAGACAACTATTCAACAAGATTTAACAACATTTTGCCTTTAAATGCCAAACAACTGCAATCTGTAAAAATATAGTTTGGTACACAGAACTATTTGTGCAAATTCTGTTTTATATGGGAATGGAATATGAATATGGGTAGGGAAACTCCCTAGACAACATAATTTAACATTTGCATTCTCTTGCAGCTAAGTTATGACAGCTTTCAAGATACAGTCGATAAGCCAATGGATTCAGACCATTCAACTCCTAATATGTTTGAATATCTGACAGGAAACTCAACTGGCCTGGACACAAATGGTAAAATAATTATGTCAAATTTATTATCAGTTGTCTAAAATCTTGGCGTGAATATGAAATTATTAAAACAAAAAGAGAATGCAAAGGTTTGGGGAAATTAGGATGCATTGATTTTTCATTTTCTTTGTTGTGTTTCAGACCTCCCCACAGACTGCAGTGAGTTGTTTAACAAAGGAGAAGCAAACAGTGGAACCTATGTTATCAAGCCAAACCAATCTGAGCCATTCAATGTCTACTGTGAAATGGATTCAGGTGGGTGAGACTACAGAAATGTGAGATCTAAGTGAGAGCATCAAAAGCACTGACATTATAAGAACAAGCAACAGGCAAGGAACAAAAAACGAACTACAACAGGTTATCCTAAAGGGCAGACAACGGGCATTCACATTTTTAAGATAAAACGGCTTCCTGATCTTTGTGTAAACTTTTGTGTACAACAACTACTTGACTTGAAATACATTTCTTATCTATTCCACAGATGGAGGTTCAACTGTCATCCAGCACAGGACCGATGGTTCAGTGGATTTTGACCAGACGTGGGAGAAGTACGAGAAAGGCTTTGGAGAGCTGGAAAGTGAGTACTTTTGTTTAGTTCAAAATATGCCACATTTGCCAGAAACATATCCAATTTGACTTAGACTTTTTCCTTACTAATAAATACATATTGGTTAAAAAGGTACAATGTGTAAGATCTGGCCAGTATTTTTGCTTAAATTTGAAAAAAATAAACTAACATGATTATCAGAATCTGAAAAATTAAAGGTTCTGACTTCATATCATGTCCAGTATTGTGTTGCAGAGATATCTACTGGAGTTAGCATGTTAATCAGCTTATCCAAAGCACTGCCCACTTCCTTTTGGCTCTCATGTTAAACAATTGGGCTGTTTACAGAGCGAGCAGATGTAGGTATAGCCGCAAGAGAATCTGACAGAGAGGAGTAGACACACACTGGCAGGAGTGAAGCCCCTCCCCACAGATCACCACACAAAGTGATGGTCCTTTTATCTTCATTGTTGCAGAGGAAGAGACCGCTAATCCAGGAAGACATAAAACACTTAATTTATGATGTTATTATAAAGATAAGCTTTACATGTGATTAGATGAGAGCTGAATCGCAAGTACGTCCTGTAGGCCTAGTCATCGGAAATAGTAATTACTACATATCAGCCCAGAACTGACAAAGTGAAGTGTGAAGCGACTTCCTGTATTGTACACACTAAATTTGGCAGCTTTCCCTGCAGTACTCACTGGCTTAGACAGCTGCTCATAGGTACAGTCATGCCACATTCCAAAGTAATGGCTCCTGCAGACATGAATTTTAGTTAATTTCACAACTATCTACCTATTGATTACACCTTAAAGTTTTAGATTTTTTTCACATAAGGATATTCTAACTGACTGATGTGTTTTGCAGAAGACTTCTGGTTGGGCTTAAAGAAGATCCACAGCCTTACACAGCAGGGAGTTTACATCCTGCGTATTGATTTGGAGGACTGGAAGGAGGAGAAGCACTGGGCTGAGTACCGCTTCTCACTGGAGGGTTCCTCCAAGGACTACACCCTCCAAGTCAGTGACTTCTCTGGTGACCTGCCTGATGCCATGGCCAACAGCACGGGCATGATATTCTCCACTAAAGACCGAAATAATGACAACCTCCGAAACTCCAACTGCGCTCGCAATTACACAGGTAAACAGTTTTACATGCTGATTCAGCACAAGGGCCTCATAGTAACCTGTATACTCACCATAGTGATTAACAAAGTAATGAGCCGGCTTGCAGATATTCCTGCTATTTTCCATACTCAAACAATGGTTGTTTGGTAGTATAAAAACACTTAAAGAACAAAGTAATTTTGTTAATACCAACTTATAACATGTGTCTTTTGTCCTGACCCTTTGGCAGGTGGTTGGTGGTTTAATGCCTGCGGTGAGACAAACCTTAATGGAAGATATCTGTGGTTGAGGGCAAAAGGACGCTCTATGAGAAGGAAGGGCATTCACTGGAAACCTGGCACAGGGCCCTCATATTCCCTTAAGATGACCAAGATGACCGTACGACCAGCACCTACAACTTAAAGCTTCAACTGAACCCCACAAGTCATACCTTCTCTTACAACAATACTAGCATTTTTAACAAAAATTGATAATATCTAATGCTCAGTTGAAAGGTTCCATGGAAAGAAAAAGTGATGTAACACAGTCATTATATATGACACCAAATCCATAGTCATTCTCCAACATTAAGCTGATTGCTTCCTAATGCTGTTTTGTCAGAGGTTGGTGCTGACTGATTGATAATATGTTGCAACCATGGCATGCAGGTCATTAACCTATTGGATCTGATCCAGCAGGGACAGTACAATTGTCATTATGCAACATTTGCCATCACTTGCAAAATGGACATATGGATCAACATCAGCAACCTGATTCCGTGTTGGCTGCAAAATGTCACAGTACTGCAATAGAAAGAAACAGACTGTGGAGAGATTCCGAAACAATTCCAAAACAGAGATTTCTTGTCTATATTTTCAGTGAACTTAAATGTATTTGACAGCCTCAATGTTAGCTATTTGAGCTATTTAAAATGTATTTTATCTTTGTGATGTAAAACTGCTGCATGTTGCAAGGAGTTACAGGCTGAAATACACACAGGTTATGACAAAGTATGTAAATCATATTACACGGTTCAAAAGAAACACTGCATCTCCAACATCTCAAAAAGTGTCCATATTGATGATTTTTTTTCCAATGAAGACCTTGTCATTTTCACCCTGTATTCTACACTGTTTCCTCCCTAGGTTCATGAGAAAAATCTACAAAGTGGGGGCAATGTCAGCGGTCAAATACAGAACAATAGATACAAAGCTTTGCAAAGCATTGATGAGGTCCTTTCCGTACGTTTGTTCTATGTTGTTGTTTTTTTACACTAACGTATTTAAACCATTTCCATGCTATATCATTTTTGCTGGTATTGTTGGAACAACACATTTCTGCATATTTGCTATTTTACTGAGTCATATTGACTCTTGTCCATTTTTACAACATAACTAACTGCCCTGTAAATGTGCCTCTTACTAACACTTCAACCTGAAAAGTACCAATGTGCTCTAACAAATCATATTTATGAAAACAAAATAAAAATTTGTAACCAAATGACTGAAGTTTTATAGTGTCCTGATCTATAAATGTGTACTAAACCAAATGGAATATTTGAGGGAAAAAACTAAATCAAGAAAACGACTTCATATAACCATAGTAAGATGAAGTACTAACAGTACTTAAGACAATATATTAATTCATAATTTAAAAATATGTCTCAGCTCAGTGTCTGTGTCCTAATGCTAGCAGCTTACAAAAATAGAGTTTAGTAACCTGGCATCACTGTTCAGGTTCAATGACCTCGTAAAGTATATCTGACATATATAGAAAATTGTCTTTATAGATATATAAAAAGTAGTGACAGATAATAGTATCAAGCAATAAGGTTTTGGGAAAATGTGAAATTTCTTTTGGCAAAACAATGATTCAAAACAAAACAAAAAACATTTAGAATAAAAATGCAATGCTCTGTGGTGGATCAGTTAGGTCTGGCATTGGTTAATATACAATAGGAAGCCACATTATCATCTGCAGACAAACAAGGCCTGTGGTCACGAGGCTGTGTCAGCAGAAACATCTGGTAATATTAACATCTCTCCAAGTGACCTTGACAAAAATAGCACTTGTTCACGTGTAATATGTACGCAGTACACTGGCACACATAAGGTGAACATTAACAAGCCACAGTGATAGTCATTACTTTGCAAAGCTTTGCTGACTAAATAAAATCACTAGCGTGCATTTGAATCCTGCTCATGAAGGATGTGGCGTTTTGTCACAATTCACCCATATATCATAAAAGCTATCAACGTAACTCTCTCATGCAACAAAACAACATCTGCTAGTGGTAATATCCCTGTGTAGTTCTTGGATAATTAAATACTTCCCAAAAAAACAGTTAAGTAAGAAAGTTTAACATGGAAATGTAATATTTATACAGATGTTACTCCACACGTAAGGCGATGGAGCTATGCGGGAAAGACAGGCAACAATAAAAGGCTATGTTTCAATGGTCGATTCTAGGGCTGCAGCTAACAATGATTTTAGTATTCGAACCTTCTATAGATTATTTCAATGATTCATCGATGCGTCGTTTAAGAAGTACTTTTGCTTGGCGCCCCCTCCCGGTAACGGGATCAGCTGTGCACGGTTATAGGTGATAAATATTTATTGGTCCTTTCGGAAATTCATAGTGTTTTGTACAGCAAACATCAGAACAACAACCAGACAGCTGCTTTACAAACACAAACCTCACCCGAGTGCTATACTAAAGGCTTGTGCAGACTACACGACTTTCAGCGTCGATCGATGGCAGTGCCATTCACACTACACAACCTGCCGTTATGTGACGGGAGTCTTGAAGTCGTTGTGGCATTCACACTACGTGACTGATCAGTCACTGGGGGTCACACACTACACTAGCTGACAGCGGCTCTGTCACCCGACACAGGTTTCCAAACCAGGTTTTGTCAAGAAAAAAGACGTGAAATGTGAAACGGGAAATGAGCAATCCTGCACACGAAACAGCTGTTGTTTGTTATTATAAAGATAGAAATTTTAAGACAAAGAATATAGGTGAAAGGATAGATTAGCACACTCAGGTAGCAGGGATTGTCTGAGCTACAGAGAGAGCTGGAGGTGAGTTAAAATGTGCAGCTCCCCGACACCCAGTTAACTCATGACTGTGAGGTTACAACTCACGGCCCACAAAGGAGAACAACAAACGCACGTGTGTACATTTTCAGCTGAGGACTGCAGCTTACTTTGGCTAGCCTTCAACTCAACAGTCAATCATAATTTAAGTTAAATGCTAAAGTTGTTATTGTTACCTTGTCTGTGGTCCGCTGGCAGAACACCGGGTGCTTTCTGATCAGATGGTCATGCTGTTGCCGAGGCGACATAAATTTTGTTTTACAGTGGAGGATGGTAACAACTCTGCCTCCACTTTGCAAACAGCACTATTATAATCACGTCGTGTTAACAGCGCAAGCACGATGTGCGACACTAATAAATGTCATGCGAAACGTGCGAAACACTGTGCTGTATAGTTATACGGATTAAAGGAAGCATCGATGCAAAGAATTTTTATTAATCCATTTAATCGATGAATTATTTCAGCCCTAGTCGATTCATTAAAAATCTACTACAAAAATTTAATCTTGTCAAATTAATATACTCTCCAGCCAAAATTGACTAAACTAAAATATAAAAAACAAAAGCTCAGATTTCACCCTCAAAATGTTTTTTCTGTACCTGTAAGTGGTGTTTGGCACATAGACGTCCCTGGCAGGGAACTCCAGGATCTCCCTGGTGGGGCGTACCCTGCTGTCTGGGTAAGGTTTAACTTGCAGAAGGTCAGGCGTCAAACAATAGTGGGGATTCTCTGGAGCGGGAGAAATGTCCAACTTCAACTGGGCTGTGGTGACAGTCACAAAAGACAGAATGGGAAGGCAGTTAGAATACAGAGAGGTAAAGAAACAGAAAAAGAAATCTAGTAATTCTTCATATTTCCAATTAATTCAAGGAAATCATGATATCAATTAGTGATGAGGTCAGATTAACCAATGGGAACAATACATCAAAGAACACTGAATCCATATCTATACCTGTGATGGGCCTGAGTCTCCTCAGCACTGAAGAAGGCCTTCTCATATCGGCTAGGAACTTATACAAGTCCTCATCACTCAGCCTGTCCCCCTCCTACAACACACATGTGCAGTGTATAAAAATGTAACTAAAATATTGAAAAAAGACAGCACAACACTGTGTGATATTCCACAAAACATATCCCTCCTTTGTCTGTGTGCATGTATCCCAAGATCTGCATTAAATACAT